CGGCCTTTCCGCCGTCCTTCCATAGCCAGTGCCGCAGCGATTCCGACGGTTTTCGAGCCCGCGTCGCATCGAGAAGCATCTCCTCGAACGGGACTAGCCAGACGAGATAGACGACAAGTAGCTGCCCGACCCGTTCCGGGAGAAAGCGTGCGACCTTTCGGCCGTAGCCCCGGATCGACTTGGCCTTATCTCGGTCCGTTACGAGCATTACCTGCCCGTCGAAGATATAGACGCTCCGGCTTAGCTGCTTCGTATCTAGATACCGCACGCTCGTGATCTCGGGCCCTCGGCCTGGCTGGCCTCCCCAGACGTGCGTTAGTACGAGTAGCTGGCTCTTTAGCGTTCCGATCTGGTTTAGCCACTTCTGCGACCGCTCCCGGTGGTACTGCTGCCGCTGGGACGACCAGAGCCTCTCCGAAACGAGCTCGGCAACGACGCGGGGCCCGGCTTGAAGCCAGCTGTTCTGCGGGTTTGAGATGAACGATTTCCCACCCCCTTCGTACATTACGCTGTCGTTGATTTTGCTAAGCTCGATCCGTCCTAGTAGTACCGCCGACTGGCCGTACAGAAGCCCGTCGAGCGCCGATTCGGCTGTTGAGACGAGCCCCTGGGCCATCCGCCGGAAGTTCTGGACCTCGATCCGGAAGCCGTGTAGCCGGAGCGCCTGCTTCCCGTCCTCCCAGATAATCCGTGCTGCCCCCCCTTCCTTCTGGCGGTAGCCCTTTCCGATCGTTAAGAACCGGGTTAGCGTACTGAACGGGCTGTACGAGCCGTCTGCGATCCACTGCCGATAGCCGTCCATAAATACGTCGATATCCCTAGCCTGGAGCTGGCTACGCCCTTCGTCCTCCCCTTCGCCGGAGTCCGTAGTACTATCCTCTTCCTGGATCGGGACGTGCTCGAAGAAGTACTCTAGTAGTAGTACGCGGCTACACCACGCTAGACCCGCTAGTAGTGTTGTAAACTCGGCCGGCGGCCGAAATCGTGCTCGGACGGGGTCGATCGCGAGTACGGTAGTGAAGTGTAGTAGCGGGTTTACGTACGGTTGTACTAGTACCCGCTGCGTAAGCGACAGAACACAGAACGTGAAGACGGCCTCGTCTAGATATCCGTCGTCGCCGTCGCCCTCGCGATTCTCCTCCTCCTCGCCGCCGCCCCCTACCCGGGAGCTCTCCTCCTCCGTACTACCGAGAGCCTCTATAATAGCCTCGAGAGCGGCCCACTGCTGGTCGGTAAACTGGACCTGGTGCTTCCTCCTCGCCTCCGTACGGCCGAGCCGGAAGACCCGGACGCAGTAGCAGAGATAGCGCCGCCAGTAGCTCCGGTACTTCTCCATCGTATGCGCCTCCTGCTTAACGCGGAACGGCCGCGGCGACGGCCGGTTCGGGTCGCGGCTTGCTAGCCAGCAGAGCGTCTCCACGGGTACCTGGCCGATCCGCCGGCTACACCGCTCGATTACCCGGTTGAAGCTCTGGCCCAGCCGTACGAGCGTCGCCTCCGAAGCCTCCCTCTCTTTCCGGACGGACCAGCTTAGTTTAGCTAGCTCCTTCGTCGATAGACCTGGCTCGGCGGCGCGCCGTAGTTCCGCCATATCCTTGCCGGCCAGATGCGCCGCCCAGCCCATCTGGCTCACCCACGGCGACTCATAGTCGACGCCGGCCTCGTAGTCGATAATCCGGCCCCGCTCCGCCTCTTCGGCGGCCGCTTTAGCCTCGTACGCCGCCATGTGGGCCTCCCAGACTTGACCTCCGCCGCCGCTGTCCGGCCCCGCTGCCGCCTCTGGGGTCGCCTGCCGCCCTACCGCTAGCGCTTCTACAATCCAGTACCGCGTACGGCGCCTCGCTGACGAGAACGACTGTAGCTGTACCTCGTTCCAGCGCGCGTAGCCCGTACCTAGCGAGCCTTCGCAGTGGCTAGTATCGCCGTCGGCTACTTCCCTCGCCTGGTGCTTCTGGACCTCGTCCCGGCTCCTCGTTACGAATCGGCACACCCTACAGCGGAATCCGGAGTGGACCTGGAGCTGCGGGATAGCTGGACTACCGTCTGCCGGTACCTCTGCTTCGTGCGGCTCTACGAGCCCTCCACGGCCCTCTACTGCTGCTGCTGCTACTGCTGCCGCCGATTTGACTGCCCGTAGCTGGCCGCCCTTAAGCTGGTGCCTCTGTCGGTAGTGGGTAACTACACCACCTACGGCCGCTGCGATTCCTGCCCTACATAGTGTGCAGACTAGTACGCGGCTTGCCCGATATAGATAGAGCTCTGGTGTTACTGCTGGCTCGGTCGTTGCTGTAGCTCTCGCGTCCTCCTGCTGCTGCTGCTGCCGCTGCTGCGCGGCGCTGCCGTAATCGCTCTCGTAGTCGCCTCCCTGGCTGCTGCGGTCCATCGTGGAGTACTACCTGTCGTATGCGATTCTCTTCTCGGTACTACTTCTGATCTTCGACTCTTGCGTATATTCTTGGGAAGAGACCCTAAGCTAGTATTATAGTTCAATCGAAATGCGCGCGCGCGTCCGTTTCATTCTCCTCCTCCCTCTATCTCCTCTTACGCGCGTCCCCTCTCCCCTTTAGACTCCCCGGGCTCGCGCTGTTACGCGTACGCGCTTATCTCCTTTTTATTACCTATTACTTACCTTGTCCCCCTTTTCGCAGCAGTGCCTAGCCGTACACGCGTAGCTGAGCTGGGGGGGTTAAGGTTCGGACCCCTACTAGTTAGGGTTGGGTTAGCTAGGGGTTAGCACATTTACGCTGGCCGGAATGAACTCAGGGTACCGGAATGAACTTAATAGCCCGTACCCTTCCGGGCCGGGAATGACCTACCTCCGCCGCCGAACTACTACCGCCGCTAAACTACTATACCTCCGCCGAACTACTACCGCCGCCGAACTGCTACCGCCGCCGCCGCCGACCTACCTGCCGACCTCTGCCAGCCTGCCACGGCCAGACCCTATATATCCAAATAAGCAGCCAGTCTCTTAAGAACAAACAGGCCCGGTGGTCAAGCGGTAAGACGTCGCTAGCAATTGCTAAGCGGAATCCCTGGTTCAACTCCGGGCCGGATTACTGCGCCTACTTGAGAATCTCTTCGTCTCGTAGAGATTCTCAAGTGGGTAGCTCTTTTTGCCGGCACCCCTTCCTCCGCTTCGGAGGTATTTTCGCTATGTTAACTACCTGCCGACCTGCTACCGGCTCCGACGAACTGCCACTACTCCGCCGACCTGCTACCGCTGCCGCCGAACTACCTGCTGACCTGCCTGCCGGCCTGCCTGCCGACCAGCCTGCCGACCTGCCTGCCTGCCTGAGCCTTATATATCCAAATAAGCGACTGACTATTTAACAAACAGCCAGAGAGCCTCGCTGGTCTAGCGGTCATGACGTCACTGCTATATAGCTCTCCATTCCCACGTCGGCCGCAGGAATAAGGGTCCCTAACCTGAGCTTGTGGAGCCATCCGACCCGGACGCTCGAGCTAGTCACAGTTGAAGAGCTAGGTTCGACTCCTAGGCGTGGCATTTTTTTGGCCCTCCTCTCTCTGCCTCTCTCTTTTGCGCGCGCCTCCGCCTGCCTGCTTGCTCTGGCAGTCGACGCGCCTCCCTCGTCGTCGTGCGGCCTGTGCATGTACGCATATGAGCGCGCGACTGGGCCCCACAGGTTCGGACCCCTGCTAGTTGGGGTTGGGCTTGGGGTTGGGTTAGCTGTGGGTTAGCCCATTTTTCGCTGGCCGGAATGAACTCAATCTGGGGTTAGTTGGGGTACCGGAATGGACTCAATGGCCCGTGCCCCCGGCCCCCTGTCCCACCAGGAATCGCCGAAAGTGAGGCCAACCCGGCCGGGAATGATGGTCAGAGGCCGGTGCCGGGCATGAACTGAGTCTTCGACCGTGGCGTCTGATATCGATAGAATAGTGATTCCCCGTCTTGGGTGTTTCCCGAATCCGAGAGGATGCTCAATATTTGCCCCTGCAGCGAAGTACTAAGGGTCCGGATTTGGCGTTCTGTGGTCTCGAGCATTGATCCCAGTACTGCCCCCTCCTGATTGAGGTTTTGAATGCTATTCTGATCCCCATCGAGTATTTGGAACTGGAGAGCAACCGGGGAAGTGTCATCGGAAGATGTCTGCCCTGCCGGGAGGCTTGTAAGTCGATCGAGCTCTGACTGGAGAAAGCCACTCAGGCTCAACTCCTGTCGGAGCTTCTCAGTCGACCGCCTCACTTTAGCTGAAGCCTGATTCCATCTGGCCCGCTCCGCGGCAGCCTCGCGGGTCTCCCCGGCGAAGCCTACGCGTGTCTTGCATAGGTCTTTCCGGTCTTTTCGAAGGCCGTACTCATCGCGGCGGACGTTCCCACGCGACATTAGAGACGCAAATTCAGGATGATTTTCACAGGTTCTTTGTTTATGTGATGGTTCTCGGTACTGCTCATGGGAAAGGTTATCGAAACCTTCAGCAGTATGGGCGTCATCGTCCTTTTAATTCTGAGGTAGAGCCAGCGTAGCACGAATGCGGCAATTCTTGTTGTGGCTTCGCATCCGACATGTGTACTGGTTCAAAGCCAAACCGCATCCGGCCACAGACTTTCAGCACAGTAAAGTTATTTACAACTTTTTAGTGATATAAGGATCTTTGTGGTGTAGTAGCATTACGTCCCATTACTATTCTTCCGGTCGGATGAGACAACCAATGCTAACTTTGTGTGGATTTAAGCACGCTCGAGAGGTCTCGGTTTCTTCGTAGGGCTTCTGGAGTACCTGTGTCATCACACGATTTCATGAGCCGCGGGCGGCATATCTCCCATTCTGCGAGGTCAATAGCATCAAGGAGAACTAGATTGACGTCGAGGATGAGTTTACCATGGCACCACCACACATGGAGGCGAAACTCAAGACTAGATCGTGCGTCGACCTCGTCGGCCAGATGTGCCACCCGCACTGAATAGTCGGCTTCACCTCCCACTCGTTGGGGCATACTCATATGCACTCAGATGCTGCCTCCTTGCGATAATTGCAGTTATCGGAAGTTGTTATCGAAACGCTTGAAAGTGTATCCAATGAACGGCAAACTCATCTCTGGCGTCTCGTCATTGTCCGTCTGGCTGGCGGCAAGGTTCTCGGCGGCCAGCACAGTGGCGTTATCGGTCTGGTCAATCTCATCCGTAGGGAAGTATGTTGTATCGATGTCAGACGTTAATATGGGCTTAAAAGGAGCACGGATACGACGCAGGCTGGCAAATTCGACTCCGTGGAAGAACGAATGATTCTTGATCTCGTGCGCGCCACCACGGCCAAGTCGTACTTCCGTGTTGCAGATCAAGCTGGTCAGGGAATTAGCCCACCGCACTGAGAATAAGCGACACAGAACTAGCCGGGCAACTTACTTGCGAATGAGATGCCCAGCCTCCGCACTGAGGGTGATGTCGTCGGGGAAATACAGCGACTGCCTCCAGTTGACAATCTTCCTGTACGTTTGGAGACTGTCGTCCGCGCAGAATGGAGGCCAGCCAACTAAACACTCGAACATGATCGTTCCCAATGACCACCAATCACAGTCACAGCTGTATCCATGGCCAGTGAGAATCTCTGGGGCAGTGTAGTCTGGTGTGCCTACTGCCGAGAATGCCATAACTCGGCGAGACTTCCTCCACTCGTTAATTTGCGCTCGGTCGCTGACAGTTAGGTTGATTTGGTCTATGGCAATCGAGTTGCGATCTCCTGGTCCGGTTGACTTGCCATGGAGGAGCTGCTGGTAGTAATTTTGGTCATGAAGCTTGTGGAAGCCGGTTGACAAGCCGAAATCTGTCAGCTTGACGTGACCGTCCCGGTCCAACAGAATATTGTCAGGTTTGATATCGCTATCAAGCTTTTCAGTGATTAGACTTCCAAAGTGAGTCTGGAATCACCACCTACCGGTGAATGAAGCCCATCTTGTGCACTGCTTCTATAGCCAACACAATCTCTGCAATGTAAAATCGCGTAATGTCCTCGGAAAAGATCTCGAACTTTATGAGCATGGTCATCAAATCACCACCAGGCAAGAATTCCATCAGCATGTACAGGAAGTTGGCGTCCTGGAATGTTGTGAAGAGCTTGACCAACCACGGGCTGTCTGACTCGGCCAGAATATCTCGTTCGGCACGCACGTGGGCCAACTGATCCCCATTGAACATGTCCCTCTTGATCAGGGACTTCATGGCATAGACAATGCCGTCAGCTTTTTTCTGGACGAGTTTGCCCTCTCCGTAGCCACCTTTGCCAATGATCATGATGGTTGTGTAATTTTCACACTTCTCCTTGGTTCTCAGGAAGCGCAAATACCGGGCCTCTTTTTTGCCCCCAGTCTGCCATAGCTGCTCGAGTCGGGTACTGGACTGGGAGGGATCGGCGAGCTTTTGTTCGATCTCGTTCTGCCTGTTCGGGAGAAATAGAAATCAGCCTTGAGCGTAATAGTAATATCACTTGTGTTGTGGCGACATACCTCAGGTTGCGTTCCCGGGCCCGTTTGACACTGTCCTTGAAGAAGTCTGCAGCAAGCTGCGAACATTTCTTCCGGTTAGTATTAGTATTGGCGCCGTACTTCACCGGCGTCCGTTCAGGGGCCGCCTGGAACTCGGCCGAGCGACGTCTCGACGAGGGCATCGGAGGTTGCTGCTGGTCGCTGCCGCCAGACTGAGAACCTGACGAGCCCAACGTGGGATGCCGCTGGGCAGTGGCAGGTTCACGAGGAGCATTGCCTTGCTGGACTGCGCGAGCGGCACCTCCCCCCTCTAGGTTCTGGTAGGAGAACTGGTGTGCAAGGCCGTTATTGGGATCGATGGGAGTGCTGGATCTCGGGCCGGTATTTTGGGTGGAAAGATCGTGGTCGTAAGCTGGCTGCGGGTACTGGAATCGTGGATGAAAGTAGTTGCGTTGGCCCTGGCCCTGCTGGCCAAGGTTCTGGGGCACGAGCTGGGGAAAGGTCGAGGGAGTTGTGGGATCGGCGCGGTCTGAAGGGGGGAAGCGGGGGTCCATGGCGGGCAAGAGGCTGTCAGGTAAAGCTGCCGCCAGAAGCAGCGTGCGACCATGGAGTAGGAAGGCGGCGAGAACAGTGGTGAGGTGAAGTGCACGCCAGCCTCGAACAGGGTTTCGATGCTCGAGGTGGTGGCGGCGGTGGTGGTCGCTTGCCGGAATGCATGCTGGGTGGTGGGGTGGCGGCAGGGGGGGATCGGGCCGCCGCTGCTGGTCGAAACTGCCCAGCAAGTGTCGAAGTGTTGCAGCTAAGGCAGCTAGCGCCGTCCACCTCGAGCACTGACACCCAAACCCAGGGGCTCACGGGACGTTGTTGTCCGGGCACATCTCGACCTCGGCAAATCTAAAGTCTGCATCGAGACCGTTCGTGCATGTCTCACGAGAGCCATAGATGACGCTCATGGGAGGACATCCTCAGCAGCGGACGCCCAGGTGGAAATGCCTTCCCGCCACCTCCGTTAGTGCAGGCTTGAGGTGGACGAGGACTCCGCATCTTCTGCTTCGTGGGGTGATCGTTGGGAAGAGTGCCTACCAATGGCGAGCCGATCCTGTCGCGGCCCGTGCCGTTCCACGCCCAGCAGGTCGTGGCGACTCCGCCCCAGGGAGACCCTGTACTCTTTGCGGTAAGAGCTGCGTCGCGAGGCGGGGTGCAAGATCAGGAGGACGCGCCAAACTGGAACGGAACCGATTGGTGGAGCTGGGGTCTCTGTGTGCACAGGAGCGCAACGAATAATGTTGTGTAGGGAGGATAACCACAAGCCAGTGGCTCTCGCGAGCATGGGACTCTTCATTGTTGTGCGGTCAGCATCGTGCCAGTCCCTCTGCAACGAGGCTCCCGATCAGGCCTTGGTCTTTGTCCCAATTTCTAGCCCGCTTCTTCCGCAATGACGTCTCTGGCTTTGGTCTCGATCGGACTAAGACCCTCGGGAACGAAAGAGCTTTTCTGGAACCATATGAAGCGTGCGCATACCCGAGCGGTCACAGGATCGCCAGGTTTTTGTCAGAGACAAGAAAAGTGGGAGGATCGTTCAGTCCAGTGCTGAGTGAGCAGAAGCGGGTGCGCCTGTAAACAGTGACTGTCAGGCCTGAGTCGTTGCGCCTAATGGAGAGCTGCACGGCTGAGCTGGTACAGCCGCCACGCACGTGGCGCTGAACGTGTGGTGTCTTGCACTGTCTGGCAGATAGATGGCAGGGCGATAGACGACAGGGGTTTGCAACTAGAGCCTAAGTACATCTCCTGGAGCACTTTCTTTCCGCCCTCTGGCGAGACTTGCACCCTGCCTGGCAATTAGCCGTGCGTTCCCACTCCTTCCCGGTAATGATATGACGGCTCTGCACGCCGGCACGCTGGAGATAGCGCAGACGCAAAGAGCATATCCGGGACTTTCTGTCCTCAAGCGCGCTTCACCCCGGCATAATGGAGTACCATGTCAAGGAGTGTTATTGCGAAACAAATTCTGCACAGCTTCTGCATTGAAATAGCTGTGCCGAACGAGAATGCGACAATCTTGCGCAGCCCACTGAGAAGCGCCTTGGCCGCTGGGCGATTTGCGCTGAGTCAGCGGCTAGCAAGACCAGGCCGAACGATCCAGTACGGACTGCGCAGTCTGCTCTACAAGGAAGCATGCGACAGATGATCGTTGAAGTGCAGACAATCCGACTGTTATTTGCAGCCGAGCCGACATTAACCCCGCCAGGCGCAGCTTGCTACTGACCCCCACCAGAATTTAGATCGACAGCCTGCTCATCCTGACCGACGGAAACCCATTTCAGTCGCTGCACACTTCAGCAGGTATCACCCAACCACGACACAATGAGTGAGATCAAACCGCTGCCGCCGCTCCTGCGCATGCATGCAGATATCCTCTGGGAGATAGTCTCATTTCTTGGCTATCGTGAGCTGTACAATGTAGCGCAGTCGTGCAAGCAACTGCGCGGTTACGGGGAAGAAGAGAGTAACAGACTCTACGGCAGCATGGTCAAGCATCGGACGTTATACCCCTCCTATTTATTCCTTTACTATGAGGAGCAGACAGTGTTATGTCGCGGACCTGGCGGCATCGCGACATCGATCGACCAGATTACCATCGACGTGTATACCAGCCATTATTCCACAGACAAGATCCCCAATCGCGACCCGGACTGGTTTTTGATATCTTTACGGCGGTATCCCCACCAAGACAAGGATGAATGGAGAGAAGCTGTGGCTGTAGCACTGCTGCGGAAGGGAAGATTTGACGAAGCCAAACCCCACATCAAACAGGTAAATCCCGACTTCCTCCGCCGCATCATTGTAGCCGCAGCCAACTTTCGTGCACACGACTGCTTCAACGCTGCTATGGACCGCCTTGGATGGAGGCCGTCCGAACAAGTCATGGACGAACTCTGCTACAGCATCATCGACCATACAAACGAGGATTTTCTGGAACTCGTTGTCGAAAGGCTCAAATCAGCACATGATTTCCTCCTGCTGCACGCTCATCAATTAAAGAAGCCGCGGATGGTAGGACAGATACTGCGTCATATGAGAGACGACCAGAAAATATCCCGATGGGTGGCAGACGAGTTGCTGAAGCAGACAGACTGTGTAGCCTTCCATGACCACATTAGGAGACAACGTCAACATGATAGCTGCGAGATGCGATTAGAGCCGTTTAATCTGAGCGATATGGTGCAAGGGATCGTCCGAGCCCAGAAGCTTGACGACAGTAACTCCAGTCGTCTTGCCGACTTCATGGCAACACAGAGCCTCAATATCAACCAGGGTGAATCGTTTTCCTATGCCCTCTGGCTTGAAGCTAGCCACGAGTACCTTGGTGATGAGCCCGACTTGCAGTCGATGGTCGGTCTGGCGATCGCTTTCGAATACCTCATCAGTTCAGATGAACCAGCGCTCGATGGCACATCTTCGCCACAAATGAATTTCGCGTGGCCCCTGATCAGAAAGGCTCTCAACAGCGAGCTATGCAACCCCGAGTTCCGTAGAAGACCGAGCGGTGACTTGCTTGTCGACCTCTCTCGGCAGACGAATTCCACTACTGATTCGGATATTTTGTACGGCCTACAAGTAGTACCGTCTGGAGTCTCACGGGAACAGACTGCCCCTATTCTCCACGGACACAGGATATTCACACGAAACTGGAGCCTGAGCGTGGAGTCGAATCATAGTGTCAATGTTGATGGTACGTCCCGGGGGTGGCTTTCCACTGCGCCGATTTTTCTCCGTGCTCCAGATCAGCGTTAACTTCGGCAGTATCCCAGCAGGCACTATGTCCGAGAACCAGCTCAATTACACACTGACCTTTTCCGCCTTCCCTCCGCTCAATGTCGCCGCGCCTGACTTGGAAGTTGACGACAGAGGTGACGCCGTCAGCTGGCCAGCAGCCAGCATCGCGCAACAAGTAGCGAAGGTCATCGATGCTGCATTGGTCGAAGAACAGATCGTGCATGACACGGGGCAACAGTCGAAGATGGAGTGAGAGAGTTGATTGATATACAGAGGCGGTTCACATGAATGTGGATCTCGGGGCAGTCCTTGTAGCCTGGCTAACGTCCTTGGGCCTGGCTATCTTGTGGTCATCAGGGCTGGTATGGGATCGTAGGACGAGGGAAAGTGGGGTCCTGATGACCAGAACTGCTACCTTCAGAGTTTGGGGATCCAAATGGGACGTTGTAGTCCGAGGCAGGACAAGTGGGATGGATGCTGTGGAAGCATGCTGGGATCGAGCTGGACGCCATAGCCAGCAGGAGGAACTCATTCGCTGGCGTTACCAACAAGCAGGTTTCATCCCAGGGAAAGAAACAAGCTCGTCGTTAGACGTTCATGCAAGGCATGTTGACCATTGAAAGTAGGGTAACAAAGGTAGCCGTACCATGAAACGCGATAGCCAATGTATCAGAGGTACCCTTGATGGCAATACACCTGAAAGTGATGATGGGAATGTATTGGGGATGTCACTGTGTATGGTAGGGTGTACCTCCTCGAGACCCTGCCTGGGAGAAGCTGGGCTACGGGCCCTCCCGCCGATGCACCTCTTCGAGACTATGCCCGGCAGTAGCTAAATAGCAAGCTGGTCTACCGGTCGATTTTCTAGAGGGTCCTGCCCGGTGGAAGTCGAGCTGTGAGCTGCCCTGGCTGGCCTGTTCTCCGGAGATCCTGCGCGCCCGGGGATCTGACAATAGGCAGATGACCTACGGTACTCGAATGCGGAACCAGTCGCGAGTCAATTCAACTACAAGGCTGGCAGGCGGTAGCACTGTCGGTCGGGTCTTCGCATTCCTACGCCTCAGCAGCTGGCTCGAGCGCTTCTTCGTCGAGGCGTCCACTGGTGGTTCTTTCGGGCCGCCGATGCGTCAGCAAAGGCTTCTTCATCCAGGCACGAAGATTCGTCAGTCGCGCCCCACGCGGGAGCTGCGAGACGTCTCTCATGTTGTCAGACTCTTCCCGCATGTACGGCTTCTCCGAACGCTAGTGGATCCTGGAGGAGTACGGGATGGACATAATGGCGTGCAAGAGTTAGGTCACGAAGCTTGAGGCGGGCAAGTGCTACTGGTCCCAGGGCAGCACGGAAATGCGGCGGGCGATCGGAGGCTTCGTCACACGCGCGATCTGTCCTCAACGACAGTCGTCTTTATGCTTCTCGACTGCCACATCATCATGGAGCTCTGCCAGCGAAACAGAGTGGCAGTCGTGAATGGCTTATCCCAGAATCCATGGCAAGGTAAGTACTAGCATGCCGAGGGTGTCAGCGAATAAAGGAGGACAATCAAGAACAATAGGAACAAAAACATACATCCTGTAGCGCGGATACAAGTGCTCTGTCGTGATGGCCGTATGCTGGACCGCCTGAGAGAAGGACATAGAGCAGGAGACACAATACGACAGGTGACGGACAGGGGTGGATCGGCAACTGACGCGCCCTCTTGTGAACTATGGATGTGAGAGGCACCAGATGCTTCTGCTTTGAGACATGATCTCTCTATCTCTCTCAGAGCGCTGGCCAGGCATCGACCGTCTCCATGCGTCCTGCTATGCATGCACTCTGGAGTCGCCGCTTGTTGGGTTGGTAAATGGCGGAAAGTTACGTGATTGCAGGGGCATGCAGTGTGTCATCGATTCGTCCTCGATTGCCGAGTGTTTCCCTTAGGCCTGATCTCGGCACAAAATCGAGCGAGCTGTTCGTCGTAACTAACCTAGCCCTTGGGATTTCGAAAAGCCGACATTGCCTTGGGCACCTACTATGGTGGCGGATTTGTCCGAAGAAATGGCTTATGAAACCTCTAAATTCATTGTGTAGATTTCTTTTTGCAGTTTTGGGATCGTTGTTGTCATCGGGGGAGAGAGCTCTGCTCGATGTTGCGGGCAACATGTCTCGAGCACTGGGTGCATGGGTATTAAATCGTGTCCTCCGTGCACGACCCACGGGCCTAGAGATTCCCCGACCCTGGTGAATCATGTTTTACAGCACACTTATGAGTTTGCTCTTCGCTCTTTACCCTGGGGTGACATGTGGAGAGGGTCTTGGCTTATTTTACGCTTTTCCCCCTCGACATAGGTAAGAAAACTAACAGCGTCGTCCGAGTCCTTGCGATTTCTGTTGTCGCGTTGCCACTGGCGAAAGCCCTGCCAGCTTCGCAACTGTCTTTGAAACACCCCCGAAGGGCTGGTTTGCGTCAAGTGTTCCTGCCAGGGTCGCAACATGTCCCGATAACTATCTGGGTCTGTAAATACATCCTGAATGATGTCGATAGCGTACACGGGGCGACCACCATCACGAATGAGCTCGTTGTAAGCGTTGATTTCGTCCACTGTTTTGTACATGTTTGAGTTGGTGGGCGACTCGTCGTCGGAGGCCGATTGTGAGCCGGTATGCGGTTCATTTCGCGCATTCGACAAGTAGTTGGGACGAAGTCGACCTAAACGGACATCGAGTTCGTTGAGATCGAGCGGATGGGAGTTTGCATTGAGGCCCTGAGCGAGGCTAGACAATTGGATCATATCAATTCGGTCAGTGTAGCTCCGTGGACGAGACAGCGAGGCAGGTCGGGGAAGCCTACTTCACTAATCTCTGAGCGAGGCGACTCCGTTCGTCGTCTGACAGCTTTCTCTGTCCGTCAACTGAGAGCGTGTAGTTTCGATCACCGCTGTGATGCTGTCGCATGAATTGGCTAAGCTCTTGATCGTCCATGGCTGAGAGCGCGTCGAGTGACACTGTCGACCTCACTGCCGCGTGGCGCGCCGTCTCCTCATCGGAGCTGGCTGAGTCCACGGGTGAAAGCGGGTCGATAGCCACTGTCCTCGCTGCTGTCTCTGCGCGTGCCATGTTATCGTCGGATGGTCGTTGAAGGAAGGAGCGCAGAAGATGCCAGAGATGGATAAATCTTCGCTCAGGCCTCGGGGAAGGGCGACGACGTTGATCACCAGAGCCAGGCGCTGTCCCGAAACCCATAATCCGCTTGCTTTCTTCGGCTTCGGCGCTGTTGAATTGGCACTCTACAGACATCTTCTCATACCTTATTTGGATTCACTCCACCTTCAGCCCTAGATCTTTGAACCCTCTCGGCCATGGACGACGCGGACATCATCGCCTATATATACCCTCACGGGTCTGGAAATGATTTTGAGCGGGCCAACGCAGTGATAACAGCGAGTCCGCGCCGCCTTGCCCCACGACTTATACAGCCCACCATTGCTGAACACAGTCGACAACAGCGAGCATCGACCGAGCCGCCTGAGGACCTTGATGCTTCAACGCTCCACTATCTACAACGCCTCCAGGTCAAGTTCACTAATATACCACGAACCGACAAAGGCCTCCTCTTTGGTTCGAATCCAAATTGTGATGTTGTGCTCCCGTACAAGGGTGTGTCAAACATTCACTTCAGCCTAACCTTCGACAAGGACAACCAGCATATTATCAAAGACTGGAACTCTCGGCGCGGTACTCAGGTCACCTATGACGGAGACAACCGTGGTGCACGAAGTAACTTCCAATGGATTATCGGCGGTCACAAGCTCGCCAGACCGATACGCAGCATTATCATCACGATACCCAACATCATTGCTTTCCAGATTGTGGTGCCTTCGCAGAACATACAAACTCCAGACTACGTCGAGAAAGTCAAGAAGTTCAAGGAGGGCTGTGCGACTGCGGAATCGCTGCTTGCGGGCATGGGCCTATTTCCACCCACCAGATCGCACACGGGAGTGCATACTCCAGGCGAAGGAGAAATCCACCTGAAGACGAGGCTTGGGCACGGCGGGTTCGGTGTTGTGATACATTACTGGAACGTAAGCACTGGACAACAATATGTTTTGAAGAGGCCTTCAACGCAAGACATTCGATCGAAGAACTACAGCATGGCTTCATGGCAACGAGAAGGTGAAATCATGGCCATGGTATCCCATGTAAGTGGCTCGACCCGGAGATTGGGCTGTTCTCCTACTAAATGTAACAGAACCACATTGTACGGCTCATTTCACAATCTTTCGATCCCTACCCGCAATTGAAAATGGAGTTCATGCCGGGTGGATCGCTGGCCCAGCGCCAGTATCATGACTTAAGCCGCCGGGAGATAATACTGATACTCCGCCAATCCTTATCTGCCCTCGCGTATCTTCACGAACTCAAACCTCCAATCGCTCATCGGGACATCAAGCCAGCCAATATTCTCGTCCAGCACCGCTCCAAGGGTGATATCAGCATCAAACTGGGAGACTTCGGTCTATCTCAGCACCAGACCACACTCAAAACGTTCTGTGGTACTGGGACATACGTGGCGCCAGAAATCCTACTATTTCGAGGGATCGACGGGAATCAAACAAGAGCTATACAACCGCGGTCGACATATGGTCTCTCGGCGTGCTAGCGTATGAACTGGCATTCGGTTTCCCATGTAAGGAGGACATAGATGTGTTCACCATCGCCTGGGCCACGCGTCTTGAAGACACGCTTCAGGGCATACAGGATCCTTTAGGTTATTTCCTATCTACGCACATGGTCACGGTTGACGTGAAGCACCGCAGCTCTGCAAGGGCCTGCCTCAATATGCCACCACAGTATCTTGACAGTAAAGGCAACTCGGACAGCCTAGCCACAAGTCCACATTGCAGCGTCGTGGACCAAGCGACGATACGGCCACCACTGCAGGACCGCGACGCTTGGCAGTCTGTGTCAACTGTCCTCTGCGAGCCACTGCCCACTAACGGGACCACATATTTGGTCAGATCCGGGGCACCGCCACCCGAGTCGCTTCCACCATCGTCCGTCCGAAGACTCCAGTTTAATAACGTTGCCGAGCCATCAACGCCAGCGTCAGGACAATCAGAAGAGGAGCATTACCAATCTGCGGATAAGTCCGTGGATTCATCGACCGAGTGTTCAACAGAACGTTTGACGGATCACTCAGATCACTTATCCGTTGAATCGTCTACAATAACACTGCAACACGATGATATTGCAGGGACACGAACGCCTCCAACTGGGCAGTTAGTGGAAGGCCAGGAGTATGGCTACTTTATTGACCATTTGGATGATCCTCTGAACTCCTTATTCGTAGGATCATCCTTAGCCTTTTGTGGCGCAAACGACTCCGACTGGGCGTCTGAGCTAGTAGAAGAGTTTTCGCATACGGGACATAATGAAGCCAAGGCGCGGCAAGGAGCTGAGAGCGTGACAAGTGCATATGATCACAAGCACATACCAGCGCCTGCTTCAGACGTCGGCGCTTCAGTTGACTAGAGGCGTTCCCCTTGCGGCCTGCCGGCAACTTTCTGGAAACTCAGCGTGCCGTATGCACCGTCTGATACAGTATCCGCCATTGAAATCTGACCCTTGGTCTTCTTTTGTCTCTTACTGCGATTCTGTGGAATTAGAAATATATAGGGGCGATACGCCGGTGGCATATTGCAATGATACGCAGGACTTAGACAACACGAATCCTTGAAACCTTCACCCCTGTTACGAAGCAGAAGTCCCTATCCTATCAGTCGCTGCAGGAACTCCGCACTCGGCAACTCAAGTTCTACTGTACTTGTGCTACCCCTGCCCCTCCTCGGTTGTTTGGCTTTCCCTGCTGGATCTGGGCAGAATATCCTTGAGGGCGAGCGCCGAGAATCTCTTTCGGAGGTCGATAGGCCACCCGTTGTAGCAACACGTGCGATTTCGCCAAGCATCGCAAACAATTACCTTCCGGTTGTCAAGGGGATTGGAGAAGAGGTAGTCCATCTCGAAGGCCGACCTGTGGTTAAGAGAGGCAAGGAGATGCTCCATCTTCTTGAAGGACGACCTGTCGTCAAGAGAGACGAGGAGGTTACCCACGTCGGAGGTGGACCAATCGATAAACGCAGTCCATCCATCCAGCATGTGCACCAGATCATCCCCCCTGGAGAGATTGCCGGAGGTTATTAAGCCAAAGCCGGTCATCGTGATACGCTGGACAAATTGCGCCGCCATTCTCTCAAACATCAGAGGGCGAGACTCTCCCTCAATCTTCAAGTCTCAAAGACTGGAATCAGACTACGACAGAACTCATAGTGCAACCAAATCTACTTCTTAACAACGGGGCATGATCTTCTGCCCTTACTTATATTGAGCGCTTACTTATGCTTCATCCTCTCATTCATGTATTGAGACTTCACATACTAGAGAAGACCTTGTTGTAACCTCAATCGACGATCGCTGCCCACATAGTCAATATTAGGACTACAGTCCATAGCCCAATTCAAGTGCGAAACTGCTGTGCGACGTGACGCCAGCTGAATGAGGCCGTGGCTGACGGGCTAACCCAACAAGGGCGGTGCTTTTTGAACCTGCCCAATCTTGCAAAGACTTCGCATCGGAATGAATATCTTCCACAATCAGGTTGTCACGTCATATATGGAGGCGCCCGAAGGACTGAGCGCCTGGATGGTGCTCTCTGCCGTTGCCATAATTAGCTCTATTATTTTTTTTAAATTGTAGCTTCTCTCTTCAGGGATGCAATGCTGTCTACACTTTGTTGCCAGACACCTTGCGAAGTGGACGCCAGATGTTCCACTGCATGCTTGCTGTGAGGAAACAATTTGACATGTAAGGCGGCTGCACTCAGTGGCTGCTATCTGGCCTGCAACTATTCTGCCTGCGAAGCATTGATGGTGCGTGCGCGAGAGTGGACGACTGTTTCATGCCGCTGGTACGGGGTCTGTAAGGGCAATGGCAGGGGACGGAGCGCTAGACTGTGCCATTAGTTGCGTCGGGTTCTCGTAAGCGCTGTTACTTGCGGGTCCTGGTGCTTCTAAAACAAGCATCAGTGTGCACACACGTTGCTCTCATCGATTCGATGAGATTCTGGGGTCGACAATATCTGCATAATGAGTCAATCATAGATGATACCTGTTGGGTGATATCGAGCGGGTACAGTACCTGATGAGCCTGGAGAGAATGCCGGAGAGTTGTTATTTCTGGCACTGCGGGGCCCAATCGGATGCATCGCCCCAGCGCGGCACAGACACATTCACGTGAGCGCGCGTGGCCAGGCGCGTGGATGCGAGTTTCGCCCCTTCATAAAGCTTCGGCTTTCTTGCTTCTTGAATCAATCTTTGACGTCAGACAAGGCCCGCCACACCCAATTCTGGGCATGCGACGACATTAATGATGGAGCCACCACTAGCTTCAGATGATCATGCTCAGGCCATCGACGAGCTATGGGCCAAAATAGCAAAAGAGCGAAAACAGCGACGGCCCAGCACAACTTCAATCGAACACCCACCTCCAAAGCCACGTCGAAAGCCACCTCGGACGTCATCTCAGAGACCATCTCAAAAGCCATCTCAGAGACCATCTCCGAGGCCTGCGCGCGAAGATGTCGGCTGCGACAATACCAGTATCGATTCAATTGATTGCGCCCTGGAAGGTCAAGTCGGAGATCCCCTTCTTCCGGAACAAAGCATGATGGATGAGACCTGGGACGACGCTCAATCGACATGGAGGGCGTTCGTGGCCAACGCAAACGGCTGGCCCGCTGGATTTTTCGACACCCCCAGGATACTGGGCGACATTCCGGCTATTCCACGCGAGATCCCCAAAAACTCGAAGGGACGGTCAATTTTGGAGGGGCAGCCAATTTGGCACGTATCCGATCTCAACAAAAAAGGGAAGCTCACCGCAGGTGCTAGAAAACGCTTCCATCTCCTTTGCGAAGAACCAGTTCGAGCCTCTATCGCAGAGCGACAGGACTCGAGCTTCTTCGGGCACGTAGATGGCATAAGTACAGAACCAGCTCCAAACGGTCTCACGGTCCTAATATTCTGCTGGTCATACATTCTCTGTGCGTCCCTTATTGAGCGTCAGGGTTACCGCGTGACTTACACCGAGCACCTCGTCGAACCGCAGCCAGAGGCAACGTCCTCCGGCCTGCCAGCCTTTCGTCTTCCCTCTGATGCTTCTGACAGCTTGGAAAGGTGGCTGTGTGCCTTACTGGCCCCTACGATGGGGTGGACAACTTCACAGGAATGCGGCTTACCTCCCTGGGCTCTCATTTGTTCAACAGCACCCCGCATCACTCGTCCGCCAGCCTCTCGGCCTCGACCAGAGCTAGTCGACGTGCAGGCTCCGGACTCAGAAGAAGCCTTGCTATTACTCAAAGAACTCTGTTTCTTGTACGACCTACGTCACTCGGACGCCACCATGCCAGCACTTGAATCGTCATTCATCGCGGCACTAGCCATTCCGTACTATCGATACGCCGGCCTTGTTCCGCAACTGCCACCGCTCGCATCGATCAAATCTCGCAAGTCCGCCAATCTGTCAGACGACTGTGACGAGATACTTCTCAGATACTTCGATCATCTTCCATACTATATGACTCTCAGTTTGCAGCCTCTCTCATTCGGCTCTATACTATGGAGCGTTTTCTGGCAGCCCTCCGTTGCGTGCAATGTCACGAGTTCCTGGCTCAACTCAACTCTGGACGTTCTGGAACCAGTCATTGCCAAAAGGGACGTAGGGCAGTTGGCCCGGATCTTCGCTGCTCGCCGCCCTCTCGCAGCAGTCCTTTGGCTTGGGGTGTTTCTCCTAGGAGATGTCAAAATCCTGGACAGAATCAGGTACTTTCTCCGGAGTCTTACAGAGGGAAAAGCCCTTCCACTCGGGGGTCCTCCAGATATTACGGTATCCGCATGGACTCGCTCTCCGCAGTCTTTCTGGGATGTACCGTGCGAATCTCAGCTCCCAGACGGAATCTACGACAGAGCCGAAATATTTCAAAGACGACTGAATTTCCGGCTCTCAGATCAGTACTTGATTCTCTTCGCCTGGAAGCCATTCTCTCCCATGGACAAGACCGGCATAGAAATTGACCTTTACGACTATCTAAAGCATCCCTTTGCTCGTCAATATGTGTGCTGGCAATGGCGGGGGGCATCTGGTGTCGAACGAGGTTTTCGGCAAGAGCAAAAGGGTTATGTGGCGCCCGATGATAATCTCGACTTCCATTTCGGAAAGCCTAACATTACACCGAGTGAGCGAAGCGCAAATACGGCGGCGTCCAAGCGCGCAACCCTACAGATGCTTGACTTCAGCATGATGACTTATCGTGGGGAAAGATCTTTCGATTACGTGTCTATTCCTGGATTGACCAAGCATCATCGGTGGTTGAAAAGATGGAGAGGATTGGATTAGATCAAGTCCCGCGTATGAGTAAACCATCTCACATTGACGACAAAACTGTGTCTCAAAAGGAGGGCGGCTGAGAAGGACTGGCCGGTATCAGTGTCGAATCCTGCAACAGAAAGCTACGTGGCAGTTGTTTGGACTGCATGGTTGGTCCTGCCAAAACAGGCTGCAGAAGATGGCAAGCAGTCATGTTCACGGTCTACACCGGGAGTCACGGCGTGCATGTGAAGTTGTACTTGGCAATCAAACAGGCAGCCTAATCCCTAGGGTAGCATTCTCATCCTGGCCTGCACGAACTCATGCGGTTCGTGCAGGTAAATTAAGCGCCGCCGGCCAAGTTGGCACTCTGCAATTGGTCCATCCCTCTTGACAGCAATCAGCATGCAGCGGATACCGTATCCGGATGTCCGCAATCACAACCCCCTCTGCACATCAGCCAGCCACATGGGCAAATCGAGAAGGGCTTGGCTGTCATTCCCAACCAACATGATGTGAGCTCGGAACGGCTGAAACCCTGGAAGATGTTGGTGAGATTGTGAGGAGTAAGGAGATGAGGACTTGCTGGAAAGGTATAAACATTGAGCCTTGGTACATGGTGTATTGGCATCATAAACTATCATCAACTCTGCGGTACTTCAACGCCAACCATCATGTCATCGAACTCAGGCCGTCCTGGCCATTGTGAATATTGCGGTCACCCAAAGGCTGTGCACGCAAGACATGACCAAGACACCCAATGTCGCCGGTGCCCAGATTACTTCGAGATCTGTCAAGCACCCTCCCATGACTCCTCCCTAGGCTGGAAGATCTGCAAGCGCTGTACATGTGGACGAGCCTACTATCCGAGCCGGGCTAATGTAGCTCGAGATTTGGACCCGAGCGATTATGCACCAACCCATCCGGACTATGTACCTGATCACACGGCTGATGCCTCTTCTCTCTTCTATGAGCAACTCCCATCGATTCGTTCAGGTGACCCATTCGCTTCAAGATCGACCCGCCGTGAGATACCTCCAGAAGACGTGGCCGACAACACATATTCTACCGATGCATACTCATCCGTCGATCGGAATGCTCGAGTCTCTTATCCATCCCACCAAAGGACCTTATCGGATGATCCTATTACAGCGGGCTCTTCCAACTTACAGCTACCAACCCGGATAGTGGATAGTGCTGGGAATTTTGGGATGGCATTCGACAACCTGTCCGTAGACGACCTGGCAGCTGCCTCCTCTGAGCAGACACACAGCACTCACAGTACTGTCGGACATGACCTTAGTGACAGTTTCCTGCTGGAATATGGATTTCAGCAATTAAGGATTGGCACCACCGCCGCCAATTACTATGAGCAAAACAGCGACGATGACTCTGACTCTGACGGCGATGATGATGACTCTGACGATAGCGACTTTGAGTACGATGACGACAACTACTCCAGCGTCACAGCCCCCGGCCCTAGTCTCTCGACCTATACGAATCGTGATTCCTACGAGCCAGGACCTTCTAAGTTTCCGCATAAGCATGAAGGCCACGAGAATGAGAGCAAGGGCAAGGGCAAGGAGAGCAAGGGCAAGGAGAGCAAGTGCAAGGAGCGCAAGAGCAAAGAGTCCAAAGGCAAGGAGAAAAAGGGCAAGGACAAGGACAGCAAGGGCAAGAGCAAGGACATCAAGGGCAAGGGCAAGGGCAAGGGCAAGGAGTCCAAAGGCAAGGACAGCAAGCGCAGCAGGTAGATTCCTGTTCACAACTCAAGTAAACCTAGAGACATATAATGAGCGACTGCTGGCGTCATTAGGCTGACAAGACTATTAATCTGTAAGCCAGACGATCTTGTTTAGGCTGAGCTCAGCAAGCTTGCTTGCAACTTCATTTTCCGACGTCCATGTAGAAGAATTGGCGCTATCATTCGTGCGAGTGGTCAAGTGCTGTCGCGCAAATTCAGGGCAGTGGAACTCCGCCTTTCGTGCCGACAATTCGATACGCTGCTCTTCCGAAGCTGCACTAGTGAGCGAAAACCAAGGATGCTACTGGAACACTCTCAACTCTCGTACGGCACGAAGAGCTCTTCTACATTGCTTTGATTCTGAGAAGTGGCCCTCGTCGATCTAACCGCTGACTTCTGACTGCGCGTTGGTCGCTCCAGTCTGGCTCGAACTCGTGCACGCTCACCCCCTCTGCCTTTCTCCGGCTTGGCTCGTCCTTATCAGTTTCTTGAGCGTTCTCGAAGGCCTCTCTTTGGGGCATAGCTAATCGTGTTCAGCAAACATCCGAACAATTCATACCCGCACAAAAAGCGCGCAAGGAAAGCGAGCATTCATGAGTTTACCGTTGAAACAAGATCCGCGTGGGGCGACATTATGAGATGTGCAAGCGGCAACAGGGATTGTCATCAGCCATTGAACAATTCGAGTTGGCCTTCCGTTAGTTATCTGCTCAAACGTTGCTTTGGCAGGCCGTTACGCGGCTGGGGCATAACGGAGGGGTTTTATGCACAACTGCAACTTATGCAGTGTGGCTGAGGGAACAGATCCGGCCGGGAGCTGGTAAGAGGGGGGCGGGCCTCAGGTACCCACTGAGTACCCAGCACGCATTGAAAAATAGTTACATAGGAGGTACCCCGAGCGGTCTGAGCAGGACGGACAGGAGTACCGTTAGCCACCTGACGGATATTACGGTTCGATGAACCGTTAGGCCTGAAGTGTGCATTAATCTCTGCATAAAACTAGTCGACCAGGGGCCGGCAGGAGCTTCGACTGAGCCCTGACTGAGCCACGACTGAGGAGCGCTAAGACCATTCGGGAAACGCCACATCGCGCTTGGAAATCATGGAACCATACGTCAGTTTACATGAGACATCGCGGCCGCCGAGCGAGGTGCTGGATGATGGTTGCCGGAGGCCGCCCGTGTGCCGCTCGTGCTGGGCATGTCGTGCACGCATGGGTGCTGGGCGTCTGTAAAGACGAGCAGTCTGTTCACCAAATCGCCCCACGATTTCAGCCAAGTTCATGGCAGAAAAGTCCAGGACCTGGAAGTGTGGCGCCAGCTGTGGCAGTGTGCGCCAGCTGTGGCAGTGCATTGCTTCTCTGGGGAGAAAGCCACAGCTGGGCGAGCAGGCTTGGCGCCAGAGCTGGACCCTTGGAATTCCCGGGACCGCGCGACCCACCCGCGGGCCTACCGCCGAAAGGTCAAGCCAGCTACGTCACGAACGTCACTCGCAACCAGCGCCAAGCCCCGGGCGCCCCACCTCAGCTGTCACCCTCCTCGCGCTTTCCTCTGCATCCGGTATCATAAATACCAGTAGCAGACTGCCCATCTTGCAAATCTATATCATCATCTCGAGCATAGCGCTGCTCCATTTTATGCCAGTAAGAACGCGACCTCCTTAGCAGCCACCTCGTCGATCGTGGCCATGCTCGACCATTGGAGCGCCACGTTCCTGGCCGCAAGTATCCAGTCACTATTTGTTTTCACGGCTGCCGCGGCGCTTCGCGCGTATGCGCTCTGCACCTTTCTAGCTTCCATGCCACCATCTCTGAAATATCATTCTGTAGCGGACGACAAGACCTATATCCAGTTGCTCAAGCTGGCTGTTCTGGAACAGGGTCGTCGCCGTGGCAAGGCTCGCGGTGGATCCAGGCTTAGCTTCACGACTTTGAAAGTGCCCACTACCGACCTGGCCAACACGAACTATGCTGCCCTATCATACGCGTGGGAGGGCCACAGAGAAACCAGATTAGGCCTTTCTCCACGCCGGAAAATCACAATCGATGGCGCCCGATACGTGATCCACGAGAACCTCTGGCAATTTCTCCAGTCTGCTCCATGCGCGCAAGTCATGGGGAACGACGGCCTTCTCTTCGCCGACGCGCTTTGTATTGACCAGGCTTCGCCTCCAGAACTTCAGAAGCAGCTCCCGCTAATTCCCATGGTCTATGAAAAGGCTGCTCAGATCATAGTCTGGCTCGGCAGAGATGGCCGTCGTCCTTCTCGTCGTACCCCGGTTCGTTCCGCACAAAGAGTGGGGATCGGCCTCCACGAACTACAACCCCACGTTTTGCGACACATTACCAGCAATCCCTACTGGACGCGACTATTTGTGGTGCCTGAGCTTATCCTGGCTGGGAACGTCCTGATATGCGTCAACGACGACATCATAAAATGGAGCGAGTTGCAGGATGTGGATGCTGTTGCACAACTCATCCAGCACGAGTGTCCCACCATGCACCCATTTCAGCTTATGCTCAGCATGCTCAAAATCAAGAGAGCCTGGGACGACACACGTCAATCCTTAGAGGCCGGCCAAACGGGACAGCCGCAGGGCTTCCTCCTTTACGACGCTCTGCAGATATCCTCCCAGCTCCAATGCAAGCACCGCAGAGACCGCATCAACGCCATTCTCCCGCTCATGCGGAGCTCTCATATCCGTCCCTACTACGGAAACACATGCACAAATTTTAACCTCTGCAGGGATGTCCTGTGCTATGGGATCACGGAACTACACGAGGAAGGACGGCCTGAGGAACAAGTACGTGATGCGGCGGCGTTTCTCGTCAGGTTTTGTCAGCCCTTGCTGAGTGGATACGACCAGATGCGGGCTAAGCAGCTTGTTCAGCAGACGCTGGACTCGCTCTATTCGTAGGCGTCAAAAGGGTCTGAGGGATGAAAAGTCGGGTATAATTGCTAGCCGCCAGTTGTGTGCGAGGGTGTCGAGAAGGGGGGGGAGGAGGGGGGTCGAAGCCGCAGCAGTAATGAGAAGCTACAAACAAGAAAAGCAATAGAGCTAATTATGGCGACGGCAGAGAGTACCATCCAGGCGCGAAGTCCTTCGGGCGCCTCTATATATGGCGAGGCAACCTGATTGAGGAAGATGTTCATTCAGATGCGAAGTCTTTGCAAGATTGGGCGGGTTCAAAAAGCACCGCCCTTGTTGGGCTAGCCCATCAATCACGCCCTCATTCAGCTGGCGTCACGTCGCACAGCAGTTTCGCACTTGAATTGGGCTATTAAGTGTGGTCCTAATGTTGACTATATGGGGAGCGATCGTCGATTGAGGTTACAATAAGGTCTTCTCTAGTATGTGAAGTCTAGATACACGAATGAGAAGATGAAGCATAAGTAAGCGCTCAATATAAGAAAGGGCAGAAGATCGTGCCCTGTTGTTAAGAAGTAGATTTGGTTGCACTGTGAGTTTTGTCGTAGTCTGATTCCAGTCTTCGAGACTTGATTTAGGCAGAGTCTCTTCCACTGATGTTCGAGAGAATGGCGGCGCAATTTGTCCAGCGCATCATGATGACCAGCCTTGGCTTAATAATCTCCAGCGATCTCTCCGGGGGGAATAATCTAGTGCACATGCCAGATGGATGGACTGCGTTTATCGATTGGTCCACCTCCGACGTGGGCAACCTCTTCGCCTCTCTTAACCACAGGTCGGCCTTCGAGATGGGGCACCTCCTCGCCTCTCTTGATAACCGGAAGGTAATTGTTTGCGATGCTTGGCGAAATCGCACGTGTTGCTACAAAGGGTGGCCTATCGACCCTCGAAAGAGATTCTCGGCGCTCGCTCTCAAGGAGATTCTGCCCAGATCCTGCAGGGAAAGCCAAACAGCCGAGGAGGGGCAGAGGTAGCACAAGTATAGTAGAACTTGAGAGGCGCATGTTGCCGAGTACGGAATTCCTGCAGCGACTGATATAATGGGGACTTCTGCTTTGTAACAGGGGTGAATGTTTCAAGGATTCGTGTTGTCTAAGGCCTGCGTATCATTGCAATATACCACCGGCGTCTCGTCCTTATATATTTCCAATTTCATAAAAGCGCAGTAAGAGACAAAAAGAGACCAAGGCTCAGATTTCAATGGCGGATACTGTATGAGACGGTGCACACGGCACGCTAAGTTTCCAGAAAGTTGCTGGCAGGCTGCAAGGGGGCCTATGGAGATCGAAGGGGCCCTGTAAGGGTACCTGTAAGTGTATCTGTAAGGGGCCGTGTAAGGGGCCATGTAAGGGTACTCCATGCAATCTTCGTGATCACTCCCGATACAGTACTCTGAAGGGGAGAGCAGCGCCGCTACTAAGCAAACGAATAAGACTTTGTTTGTTTGGAAACGCGTTTCTTTTGCTTGTGTTATACAAAAGAGCCAGTATTAGTTCCCAGCAACCCTTATAGAACCCTTTGATCAATGCCAATGTCATGTTGTTTCGGATCCCTTTACGACATCTATGCTTCCGTCAGAGAGTGATTGTCTCACGCCGTTCGGACCTTCCCACGACCCAACTCATAATGATTTCTAGTCGCCTCAGCGGGGACCACGATATCGAGGCTAAGCCCTTCCTCCCCATTCAGGTAGTGGTGATCGGGGCAAGCATTGGATCAGGCCATACCTCTGCAGCCCTGGAGCTTCAACGGCGCCTTGAAAACGATGGTGTCAGCACCGAATACCATGACATCCTCGACGCTCTACCCATCTTGATCAGAATCATGCTTAGAGAATTTTATGCGCCTCTAGTCACCTTCGGCCCTTTACTCTTTAGTTGGCTTTTGGTAGCCTGGGAGGTCGAGTCCTCGTGGATGATGCAGGTATTACTATGGACCGCTTCAGATCGTCGAGTGCTGGAGTGGATACAAGACAAGAAGGCCATTGTCACGACGCACGCCATTGCGACCCAGATTGCTGGCAGACTCAAGGACCGAGCCAAGCACGACGTACCGATCGCGTCGTATCACTGTGATGCAGGAATACATCCGCTACTGCTGCACCACTCTGTCAGCCTGAATCTCGTACCTGCCAGTATAGCAGCCCTGGCTTGTAGGAGTTATGGACACGATGCTACAGTCATAGCCCCGTTGGTCCGGCCGCGGTTCAGAGAGCCTATACACGACCTCACTCGCTGCAGACTGAAAGAAAGCCTAAGGCTCTGCTCCACAGCCCCAGTGATCATACTAGCCGCTGGGTCGCTGGGCATCGGTAATATCGTCGGCACTGTGCAAGACATTCTGAGAGAAATGGACACTGCTCGGCTTCTGGTTCTCTGTGGGAGGAATGACAAGTTACGAAAGCGCCTAAAACCATATTCGCAGGTGACAGCACTGGGCTGGCGGGAAGACATTGCCGAGATTATTGCCGTCTCCCACGTCATGGTGCACAATGCTGGGGGGATGGCAATTTGGGAGGCCATGATGTCTGGCCTACCCACCGTTACGTACAATCCACTACCAGGCCACGGCAGGGCAAATGCTTTAGCGCTCGAGCAGGCCGGCATCTCGCCGTGGCCCCGCGATCGTGCTCGTCTCGGGGCGACGCTGAGGAGCGTCCTGGCAGCTGGCAGAGGGAAAGTCCTGGCGGACTGTGACACGATCGTTAGCAGGCACATAAGCAGGATGATTAGGTCAGGTCCTTGTAGCGGAGGTGAGCCCTAGCACCAGCGAGTCACTCTATATCAGTATGCACCACCTATGAGAAGCCCGTGTCCCAGTTGAGGGTGAATGTTGTTGCACCGATATGCTCAAAAAAAAGATTGCTGCTAAGACACGATGTGCGAGGGGAGGGACCCGACTGCCTCGAGTGTGCTGGTAAGGGGCCCTGTGGAGCAAGCTATTAGGGGATCGAAGGTGCCCTGTAAGGGTACCTGTAAGGATACCTGTAAGGGTACTCCATGTAATTCTTGTGATCACTCCCTATGTTCACAAAACCCATAAGGCTCCGGTAATACAGGCGTCCCATATTATTCTAGTGCTTGTCGAAGTACCTCTACGCCCCTTGTTTAAGCGGGCGTAGCAAGTAACCGTGACGATCGCATGTACTTTAAAGAAGCTGCTTATTTACGTGGCAAACAAAGTATCTCCAAACATGACCGATCGTATTGGCTCTGATCCCTACATTTTCTCCATTACTCTTGTACCATCAGCCTTATGGGTTTTGCGAACATAAACTCTTCCTCGTCAGGAATATCAAGTATAGCGGCTTTACATGCACTATATGGAAATCAATAATGCGCATCTTCACACGACCAACACCAAACAACACCAAGCTCCCGATAGTGGCATTGTAAGGATGGGTTGCCAGGATGACTCGACATTGTCAACCACCATCATCAGTTCTATCGATATTCCACCTATAATGGTTGTCCACATAGCCATAACAATAGGCCTGGGACTCAAAGATATCATTGCTCCCCCGCGACCTCGCAAAAGTCCCGACAAAAGCACGAAAATAGATACGGCTAATGCGGCAACAGATACAACATACGAGACTACCGATCACGGCCTGCGTGGGATTCTTTTCGTGGCTCTTGGTTCCTCCTACCTGGTCACAAGTGTCTGCACACCTATCGAGTCGAACCAGCTGGTCCATGCAAGCGTACCTGTCCGCCTGTTCCTTGCTTTTGTTTCCATGCTCCGACTGCTATTCGTTTCAGGGCTCGAGAAACAGGGGAAACGCGACATGATCATCGTGTGCTTGTACGACGGCTTCGGAGCTTTGGTGACAGGATGGACTCTGGGCAATTTCAGTGGCAAGTTGTAGCGAACGCTTCGCGACCTCGAAGCGCGGAGGCAAATAACTGCACTGGCCAACTTTCCACATCTTCGGAATAGGTGGGATTTGAGGACGCCTGGGCAGCGCAGCTGCAACCCACGACGGGGCTACCGAGGACTGCTTGAAGCACTCTTCAACTAATTCTCACGACAGCGTCTATAGGCGCGATAGTTACACAAATAGCATTGCTTTGCCATCCATAACCACAACCTGCATTACGCTGGGGTACATAATTTGACTCGGGCAGAGGTGGCTCTGGTGCAAGTTTGCTAAAGCATTGATAGTCTCCCATTGTCGGGCGGAGAGTCTCCTCATAGTTTGGACTAGAATAACCACCCGCCCCACGGGCGTCATTTAGTGGTTGAGTACGCTAACGTAGGTGCCCTTGGGGACGTCAAAGCGGGGTAGGTGCACTAATGTGCGCTATCTGGACAGCCATAGGCCCCCATATGTCCACTACAACCTGAGGTCGATCTGAAGGTGTACATATCATGCTGCACCGCAGGCTGTACTCTGACGCAGGTACAAAAGTGGGCGGATTTAAGCCATTTATCTTTAGGTTTCCCAGCATGACTTCGATGATCTTATGCGGGGTGCTGATCTCAACTTCAAGTGGGTGAGCAAGGATGCCAAGAAGGCGTGGGGAAATGGAGGAGCGTGGGGTGAGAACTTCCCAGCGGTGACTCGGTGGCAGAGTGACGCAAGTGTTGGCCTGCCCCTTCAGCTTGACCCTACTAGCACGCTCTCGTGGATGAGAGGCAGTTGCAAAAGTGACAACTGAAAGTATGTTCTCTTGTGCCTACATGAGCATTTCCACAACCCAAGCTCTGAGGCGCCGCTCTGCTGTCTGGGACCCAGTTGCCTCCACCAGTGCCATGATTGCCTTTCATCCAGGTGCTGAAATGCTCTTGGCAGTACCGAGCTCGCCTGAGAAAGTCACAAGGTTTCGCGACAGGCCAATTGTCCGTGGGGCGGCGCTCCCAGTTGCAACAAGTTACCACAAGCTCTCCCGTAAGCATTGTTTCTGCGCATGAGCCTCCAGAACCCCGAAGGCGGCGCCCCTTAATCCTTCGCATCCCAGCTCGCTGAAGGGTGGATGTTCTACGCAGCGCGCCGATAGGTGACGGAACGGTCACAGAACATCCACTCACCTTCTGGGATCACAAGAGAATCTTGTGTGCGACGAATTCCATGGGTCTTGCGTCGCTTCACCATGAAATACCCTGCCACAAGCCAGGCCTGCGATTCGGCGTATTTCACTCTCCACCGTCTCTTCGGCACTCCTTCGAGGTGGAGAGGGTCCGCGACGATGTGACAACGACCAGGACCCTCGTCTGAGCGTTCGGCTTCGCTATGGGTTCGAGTTATATGCCCCCGTAAATTGTCGTTTCGAGAGAAACGCCTTTGGCAATAATCGCACTGAAAGTCTCGCCTTTTCTCGTGGACGCTGGGAGTACCTGTGTCAGTCCCACTACCGCCTCATAGCGGAACAGCTTTTGGAGTTGACTGACGTTTTCTCATGTCTATTGCGTTGATGTTCTTTTGAAAGCTTCTGGAACAAATAATGAACCTGCACTTGAAGTTGCGCGGAGGAGGGGTCTCGATGCCCAGAGCGCTGGGCAGACTGCTGCAGCCTTGTGGAACCACTGCCGGCATGGGCGGGTCCATCCCACTACGGTAAGCATCCACACTGAGGTCAGATGGCTCCATAGGGACTGGAGGAAGTCTGCCTCGTGTCCACAGACACGGGACCGCTGCAGGATGTGTGTAGGGGATCTAAGTTGTCGCTACGGGGGAATGATTGATTGTGGTCCATCTCGAAGCTTAACTGAAAGGAATGCTGAAGATCTGCAGTAGTAAGGCTGAGGTTTCGTTGGCAGTAGGGATTGACTTCGTGAGACTAAATCATGCATAAACTTCCAGTATGGCGAGCGCGGTTGGGTATTTAAGCGCGTTAACCGCACCTCTGCTCGTCAATCGGATGGTGCATGCAGCTGCAAGGATCCTGCATACAGACTGCACAATTCTGTGATGTGATTCACGTAGCCCCATGGGCTGTGACCCACTGCTGTCGCCCAATCTCCCTGGGCGCAGGGTTCACCACATCCAGTAGTCCTTGCATCAATGGCATTTATTTCTCAACAGACCGCGGAAGTCTTGCTTCGAAAAGCTCGAAAGCTTAACCTGGCTTGGAAATATGCGTACAAGGAAGATACCTATCAGACACGAGCTTGGAAAGATATTTTTTCTCGGGAGCAGGCAGAGTTTGACGCTCGTACACCAGTACCGGAGGTGCCTTGCAATTACTGGTATGGGTGAGACATGGAGGAGATTGAAGCTGCTGGACGGTCTTTGACCTTCTGCTCGGTGGTGGAGATCAGAAAACGAAGAGAAATTGTGTCGAGGAGACAGCTTGAGACCTGTGCAGTCCAAATAGAAGCAGGGACCCTGAAGTAATATGCAGCTTAGATATACACCCAGTGTACCCGTGCCACTTATTGTTCCGATAGCTGAGTGAACTTTACCCGGTGCTTCCTCCTCGCCTCCGTACGGCCGAGCCGGAAGACCCGGACGCAGTAGCAGAGATAGCGCCGCCAGTGGTTCCGGTACTTCTCCATCGTGTGCGCTTCCTGCTTCATACTGAACGGCCGCGGTGACGGCCGGTGCGGGTCGCGGCTTACCAGCCAGCAGAGCGTCTCCACGGGCACCTGGCCGATCCGCCGGCTGCACCGCTCGATCTCCCGGTCGAAGCTCTGGCCTAGCCGTACGAGTGCCACTTCCGAAGCCTCTCTCTCCTTCCGGGCCGACCAGCTTAGCTTAGCCAGCTCCTTCGTCGACAGACCTGGCTCGGCCGCGCGCCGTAGCTCCGCCATATTCTTGCCCTTTAGATGCTTCGCCCAGCCCATCTGGTGGACCCACGGCGACTCGAAGTCGACCCCGGCCTCGTAGTCGATTATCCGGCCCCGCTCCGCCTCTTCGGCGGCCACCTTAGTCTCGAACGCCGCTATGTGGGCCTCCCAGCTCGGCTCCGCGCCCCGGCTGGGTTCTGGCTCCGCCCGGACCGGCCGTTCGGGCACCTCTTTCGAGCCCTCTCGTGCTGGGATCGGCGCGTCCACGACCCAGTATCGCGTGAATTGCCTGGCCGACGAGAACGACTGGAGTGCTACGCCCTCCCAGCTGCTGGGTCTGTCGTGCTCCTGCTGTCCGGCGGCGCGCTGCGTGTTCCAGTGCCGCGACATCCGCTTGCTGCTTGTCGTCAGATATCGGCACGCCGTGCAGCGGAGCCCGGCCTGGACGGCGAGCTGCTCGATCGCCTTACTACCGTCTGCCGGGAGCTCGGCCGACTGCGGGTCTACTAGCCCGCCGCTGCTAGCTGTTGCCTCTGCGATCGCGCTCGTGAGCTCTCGAATGCGCCGTAGCTCGTCGCCCTGGATCTGGTGCGCCTGCCGGAAGTGCGGAGCGACGTTGACGCCTGGCCGGATCGCTCCCTTGCAGTACAAGCACATGAGAACGCGCGCCGGCTCGTACAGCCAGACAGCCGAGTCCGTGATCTCTGGTGCTGCCATTGTTTGTCTTTTCACGAGTCTGTTATCGCGTCCGCATTGTATGTAGTTCTGTGATTTCTCGCGCTTGCGACTTAGCATTTCACATCTATATCTATTCTATCTAGCTGTTCCGGTCATCTACCCTCGTACCTACCTGACCTGACCACCCCTGGGTAGTCCTCTCCTCCTCCTCGTATCTCCTGCCGCGTCGCGTGGCTTGCTTTTTCATTTCTCTTCCTACATAGCGCGCCCGTTTAACCTTTTCTGTACCCTGGCCTGGCGATATCGCCCGCTCCCCTGGCTGCGGCTGCTGTAATGCGTGCACGGGCCCGGGGGCGCTGGCCGGAGTTGGGGTTAGCCTGGGGGTTAGCAGTTAACCCTCAGCCGTTTTGGCTGCGCGGAACCTGACTGCGTTGGGGTAAGGGAACTTGACTGCGCCGGCCCGTGCCACCCCGGCCTGGCCCGAGCTCCCCACCGGGAACTTGACTGCGCCAGCCAAGTTCCGCCGGCAATAATGGTTAGGGAAGGAAGAAACCCTTTTGACCGTCGTTGTCCTTCGCTGCGTAAATCGAATCGACCTCTCGAAAATCCTCGAATTTCTCATTGTCGTCCATACGCAGCCGATAGGTGTCGATCAGTAACCTATATACATCTTGCTCAGGACGATCGTGTAGGTAAGTGCCGCGATCTAGCCGAGAGAACGGGTCAACGACATCCTGAATCGGCCCTTGGTTAGCGCTTGTGGCTTGACTTCGATCGAAGATTCGGCTGCGGCTACATTCGCGTTTATGCTCCGGCCAATGTTGAGCCTGGCAGTCACGGGAGCAGTACAGCGTGCTGCATCTCCCGCATCTGGGAAGCGAGGTACCGGCCGATACCCACCAAGAGAACACGACACGTTGAGAGTCATTATTATCTACGGCTTGACGTATCTGATGAGGCAAAAACTCTCACAGTACCAGACCAGACGGTTGACCCCGGGGGTCGGATCGTGAGAGGTAGCAAGATAGACAATAAAATCGCGTTTCAACTTTTCTTTCTTCTTCATCATCCTTTTCGATTACGAGGAACCCATGCCAATCATATCTTTGGGCCTCAGCGCGTAAGATTGGACGGGGAGAAGCTTCTTCGGAAGTCGACTGACCAACCCCCTCTGCGTCTCGGTTCGAATAGTACGCCAACCTGCCTCCTGAACAGACTCAAAAAGCTCGAGTTCACCCTCGTCACACTCCCGTCGACCTCATCGAAGGCATCACAGCCACTGGTGCTCAAATTCTCCTTAATGACCATGATTCCGCTGTCAGGGTTTAGCGCAGCCCTGCACCGCTTCATGAAAGCCACAAGCTGCTCGTCGGTTAGGTAGCCCACGCACCACTGTACCCAGATCAAGTCGTACAAGATCCCCTCTGCGGGACACCAGTCTTCTAGCCCGACATTGAAAACGTTCCCTACCCCTTTTACCTCTTGCAAAGAGATGACAAACTTGGCAACAGGCTCTATGACATCGACCGCATCTGCCACTTCGACAAGCAGACCTTTCGTGATCCTCCCAATACTGTCTCGCATGTTCAGCATGAGCAACCACAACAGGTTTCCCCATCTCAAACACTTACCCCGCCCCACCCTCCAGCGCCAATTCAACCGTGCGTCGACCATTCTTCGTGCCAATCCCGAGCTTCGCGAGAAAACCGCGAGAACCTTGAAGGTCCACTTTGGAGACGTTGGAAAATCCGTTTATAGAAGGAATGCCACCGAGCATGCCGTTAATATCGGCATCAACGCCTTCCCATGGACTTTGCCCAGTGTCTATATGTCGTGCCGCGGGACATCGGAGAGTATACACGAAAGAGGTAGCGGGGTACGTCGTCAAATTTCTGCAGAAGCCAGTGCTTGTCACCTGTTGGGCAGAAGAGAAGCCGCTCGGGATCGAGACTTAGGCCTTGTAGGCCGTCCAAGACATTATTAAATTCCATTTTTTGCCCCGAAACGAAGTAGTTCTGAATTCGAATGGAGTAAATCGGAACGAAAGGTCTCTCCGTGGTCCGATGTGAGCGATTTGCTGGTAGGGAGTTGGAAAGTATGCCCATCAGCGATGACTACCGTGATATCGAAGCTGCCGCTGTCACCAGACCATCTTAAGCACAATTTTTTTTGTCATTATTCATGAGCTACGGCCTTCCACTAACACCTATCGCTCGACGTCTCTCCAACGAAATCACCAATCCCTCCTCAGCGCCAAAATCCTCTTCGCAGCATATTTGGCAGCAATCATAATCGGAGCCTGGGTATTTCCGGTAGGGACCTTCGGGTGGAAGCTCCCATCGACGACAAACAAGTTGTCCGTCCCCCACACCTTCGTGTCCTCGTCGACCACGCTCTTCCCGTCGTTGCTGACGCGCATCTGCGCGGTGCCCAGGTTGTGCGCGCCACTGGCAATCTTGGTCAGGATGGCCTCGGCGGTGACGTTGTCGGCCACGGTCAGGATGCTGTCCGGGAGGCGGGCGTACTCGAGGAACATGTTCACCCCGGCGGACATCGCCTCCCTGTCCTCGGCGGAGCGCAGGAGGGGGCTGATGGTCATGTTGGTCTTGCCGTCGGGCGTGATGGAGACCTCGCCGAGGGAGCTCGTCCCGTGGGTTAGGTACAGCTGGATCGAGATTGTGCTGTTGGCGCCGGCGCGGACGGTGCCCTGCACGGCGTACTGCCTGGTGGTGGTGGTGTTGAGGCTGGTCCAGAAGTTGAGACGCTGGCTGGACTGCATCAAGACGCCGCTGCTGTGGGCGAAGAGGTCGATGTTCTCCTGGCTCGGGGAGGGGAACGCCGTCGCGGGCAGGGCGGGGACGTTCTCCTTGGCGCCGGTCAGGGTGATGGTTGCCACGGCGTGGTTCTTGAGGCTCCGCCCGACGGGGAGCTCGATCCACTGCTCTTGGGAGGGAGCTCGACGTTGGTGGTGCCGCCGGCGACGATGTCAATCTGAGCGGCGGGGCCAATGCCAGAGTTGAAGAGCACGCGGGGAGTCGAGTGTGTGCCCGCTGCGACGAGAAGGGCGCCGTCCTCGGCGAGGGGGATGATCTCGCGGGTACCGTCTGCGCGCTCGACTTCGACGCCAGTGACTTTGCTGCCGGTGCGTACGGCACGCAGGACCTTGGCGCCGAGCTGCAGGGAGAAGCAGGCTCGTGCTTTGGCGGCGTCGAGGATCTTCCTCACTGGGGTGTCGCGGAGACCGTTGGCGATAGACCAAGCTGGGTGGGCGTAGACGAGCTCTTTCGCCTCGGGGTCTTTGATGGCATCAGTCTCCGACCAGCCATTGGCCAGGAGGAAGCGCGAAGTAATGTCAAACGCCGCATCATCGTAGCGCTTGCCGTCCTCGGAGGCCAGATTGGTGCCGGGCAGGTGTTCGTAGAGCTCGGCAGCTGCCTGAGCAATACCTTTGGGGACATCCCAGTGCCACGCTTCGGCCAGGAGGCAAAGTCGGCCCCACGAGGGCGGACAAACATCATGGCGTTGTTGTTGGTTGTGCCGCCGAGAAGGCAGCCTGCCTTGATGGACAGGTCATCGCACCAGCCGGCGTTGGGGTTGGCGATGGTGGCGTCGACAAGGCCGGGCCTCGTAGGTTGTCATGGTGTCGTTCCATGTCAGGACTTGTTGCGTGTTGCCCGTCGAGTAGAGGGAGGGCCCGCCGCGCTCGAGGAGAAGCACCTTGCGGCCGGACTGCGAGAGCTGTTCAGCAGCCACGATACCAGCCGCACCGGCGCCAGCAACGATGTAGTCGTATGCGGACTGCTCGACCTGGGCGGCCGCTGCCTCACCCAGGGCAAGCAGCAGAGCCTCTTTGAGCGTGATGAGAGGGATCTGCATTGTGGTTTTGTGTCGAGCGAGTGGACTGTCTGCGAGGAACAGGTGTGGGCTCTTCAGTTCAAGCACAGCACGAGCAGGTCAAAGGAAGTCGTTGTGATGATCGTAGCGCAGGCCGCAGCAGCTCTTATGCTGCAAGGTCGACGGCGCACCCACGGGGGCGAGGTCCGTGGACGGGACGGTTGGTTCTCGGCCAGACGCAGGCATCGCGGTCCAGGGAGGTCCACATTGTACATGAGACGATGCAGAGTGGTGGCCGAAATTGATTATCGCAGGTGGACCTCGTCAACCAGAAACCTTGGTCGAACGTGACAAGGCAAGCAACGCAAGCAAGTACAGCACAGGACTAGCCGAGACCCGGCAATGATCATCACAGCAGGCCAGCCGGTGGGCCAGTGCCATGTCCAGTCTCAGCGGCTGTCTTGGACAAGTTGGGGGGTGCCCCATCAGTGCGACTCAGCATCCCTGGCCGGCAGGGTCGCACTCGACGACCCGGGGCCAAGGTTCACGTCGTTCGCTGGTGGCCAGAGGAAAATCTACGGCATTCATACTGCGTATTGCCGGAACCCCGGCCGGCCGCACGTCACACTTACGCCCCGGCCGAGCCGGCCGCTGCCCAAACAGGCAAGCCAGAAACGCGGTTGTTTCGCACAGGGGCCCTGCTTCTGGCATGATCGCCGTCCGTTGTTCATGCCTCTCAGGGGTTCGCTCAGTCTGGCTGGGTCCGATCGAAAGGAATAGGCTTCTGACGTATTGCTTGGCGGATATAGTCACATCGGCCTGGAATGATCTGGAACCCCGTGCACTGGCTTCCGTCGGGATCGCTCTCGACTCTGCCATCTACAATCTGTCACCTTGCCAAGAAATTCGCAAGGCGCAGAAGCCGGCGGAGAGCATTACGAATATCCTTGCACGCCGGTGGTGCCCCAGTCCCCCGGGACCAAGGTCGATGGCACGCCCGGTTCTTGCCATTGCCTCCCAGGCAGATCTTTCTGCTCACCTGCCAGACCGGCATGACCAACAGACACATGCTTTGCTGCATGTTTTGCCACAGAGTCCTGCAGACAGGAGGAATTGATGCACTGCAGCATTGGTGTAATCCTCGCTCACTCCGCACGAGGGACACGTTCTGAAGACTCCAACACTTCGCGAACAACCAAGGCTTTTTCCTGTCGCTGCATTGCTTGGGATATTTGTGTCTGAGTGCTTGCATGGCTCGTGGGTATTGTTTCATATCAAGATTGGCTTTTGTCGGCAAATACAGAGTGTATCACCACGAGAACTCTGTCCAGGGCATAGGGATACATTCCAAAGGGCCCGCGATACTACCTTGTACACTCAATACTGATGGTCGTCGAGGACGGCCAGGAACCGTGCCAAGCAGATACCAGCTCATGTCGCTTTTTGCATCAGGCTTCCACTCGTCATGTGTATGCATGGTCCGGGCCATTCGGGGAGTTTTCGAAGTCGGGTTTGCCTGTAGTGATGCTTTACCATAGTCACAACTTGCCTGGGTAGAAGGAACACTGCCATTGTCCAAAGCAGAGCAACGTGCCACCGGGGCGCTATCAGGCAGAAGCAAGTGGCTAAACACAGTCCGCAGCCAACGAGATCACGCGCACAGTCCTGTGGCTTGTCTATTCTGCCTCGTCTTGCAGGGGGGTTTTGGGCGTCGACGATGAGGGGCCAGTTGCATTCAGCCGCACCTGAAGTCTCGGAGAGGGAACCCCCCAACCATCAGACAATGCCCTGTGCCTCCCTTCTTCCCCGTCGAGTTGTGGTTGTTCCAAAGACTTAACCTTCCGCACTAACTAGTAGGAGCTTCCAAAGTAATAAAAAGCACAAGACTCAAATACTCAATAGCATCCGCCATGGACACCGACGACTACGTCCGCCAGCGCAACACAAGCTGCCTGGCTGACCTCGGCCACTCGCTCGTCCGCCTCTCACCCGACAACATCTCGAAGCTCCTGCTCACAGCCAGCGGACTGCCCGAGAGGCGAAGGGCCGAGGGGGACGCTATATGCGCCCGCCTGGCTGAGCTCAACCCCGATGTCGCCAAGCACTTCCAGTCCAAGCAGACTGCCACATCGCGGCTCAAGCTGCGCATGATCCAGCCTCGGTCTATACAGGCTCACCCCGCAGCCGTAAATGAGACCACAAATGGTGTTCCACAACTTCAAGAGGACCCGGACAGGTCCCGCGAAGTCGACTCCTTCATCGTAGTCAGCTACTGCTGGCACTATCCCGACTGGCCCCTCCCCGCGGCGGCCTCGCCCATCGCGCCGGGCTGGGAGGTGTCGCGGCCCATGGTCGACGAGGTCATGCGCCTCGCCCAGGTCTCGGTGCCCGGCGACGGCGGGGGCAGCGTCTGGCTGGACAAGCTGTGCATCAACCAGGCCGATGAGGACGACAAGAGCACCCACGTCGGCGCGATGGACATGATCTACCGCTCCGCGAGACGGGTCGTCATCTTGCTCGAGAACGTGCAGCTCGGTGACGAGGAGGAGATGGAGGCGGCGCTGGCGTACAGGAAGTTCTACCAGGACATGTGTGACCACGTCAAGGAGCATGATCTCGAGGGGGCGGAGAAGGGGGCATATGTCAAGGAGTGCTTCCCGAGGTCCGAGAAGGAGTGGTGCGAGAGGCACAACTCGGCCGCTTCGTCTGGAGGAAGCAATGAGCCTGCGGGCAAGTTCGATGTGGCGAAGCTCCGAGCCGCAGCGAAGCGATTCGTCTCAAGGCTCTTGCAGGCGCGCTGGTTCACGAGGGCCTGGTGCGCTCATGAGTCTCGAGTCTCGCCGCACGGCAAGATCAACAACCCTCTCTTCCTATGCTTCGCTCCCGACCTGAACAACAACAAAATCACCACAGCACAACCTCGGGGGATACCGGCAGCAGAGTACTCAGCTTCGAGTTCCGCTTCATCCACTACTTCGCGCTGTACCTGTGCGAGCTGGTCCTCGACAGAACCGAGCTCGCCCCCTCGCTGGACATGCTGCCGCACCACCAGACGCGCATCGACGACCCGGGCCCGACGGAGCTGTGGCAGCTGTGGTACCGCATCCAACGCCTCCACCCCGAGCGCGGCGCGGCGTGCTCCGCGATGCAGCACCTCGTCAGCATCATGTCGTTCGGGTGCACCTTCAAGGGCGACCTCATGTCCATCGCGCTCAACACGTCGAGCATCCCGCTCGTCTTCCGGGGCAGCGCGGAGTGTGTCGAGGACGTCATCTGGATGTTCGCCCTGCTGGTCATTGCGGCGGGGGACGTGGTACCGCTCATTGCCAACGGGGGTAAGCTGCGGTTTCCCCCGTCGACGACCCTCGGCTCGGCGGCCGACGAGCCTGGCGGTCCCGTGAAAGACGGTGACACAGCACAGCTGGTATCCTGGGCGCCGCGCCCAATGCAGGGCGTGCTCGACGACACGATCCCGCTCAGGGACAAGAGCTACATCACGGCCGTCACGCGGGACTACATCGAGCTGGACCTGCTCGTCTTCACCGCCCTGCCCGCCATGGCCACGCAGGCGAGCCAGGACAAGGCCGACGCCCTGATCGCCAAGTTCCATCTCGATGCCATGGCCGAGACGTTTGCTGCGGCCGCCAACGCCGAGACGCAGAGGCAATCGGAGATCATGGCGGCTGTGTTCGACCGGATCAAAGATGGGCAGCCGGGCTCCTTGCACGTCTTTGTCAAGGTCTGGCTCGCGCACGGGATCGACTGCGGGACGCAGTGGATGCTAAGGTTTCCCGAGATCATGAGGCAGGACACGCAGGACTGGACGTATGGTGTGCCCAGGGAGGTAGAGGATGAGACGTTGTTGTCGGCGGCAAGGGAGCTTCTGAGCCTGGTCTCCGGCGCCAACGCAACACCTCATTCACAAGGAGACGAACTCAAAGCAGCACAGGAAGCACCGCGGTCAGATCTCGGCACCGCGCAAGACGACGAGACGATGATCCGCCGCATGGCCCTGTACCTCCGCATGATCCTCGACCCGCGCCTCAAGTTCTACGCCACCGCGCCGCGCCGTCTCCCCCTCGGCGGAGACGACCACGCCATCACATTCTCCTCCAGCAACCGGTCGTACATCGCCGTCCCGCTCGCCCTCGTCCCCCTCCCGTCGTGGCAGAAGCGCGCCTGGGTCCTCGAGCCGTACGACCCGTCCACCGACCCACCTGAATCATTTGCGGATTTCCTACCTAATCCCGCCCGCACGTGCATCGAGCCTGGCGAGGTGCTGGACGATGTGTATCCCGTCCTATCGTCTGACTATGCGGATCGGCGGAGGCCGCGGGATGACAAGGTAGGGGCGTGGAGGTTGAGGCGGCGGGAGCAGATCTTTGGGTTTAGGGGCTGGGATGAGGCGGCGCTTCAGGGGATGATGGCGCGGAGTTCCAAGGATGGGGACGGGGAGGGATATGTCGTGTACATGAAGAAGCAAAGAGTGTACGGCGCGGAAGACTATGACTGGGGCGCGATACTCGAGGTCGCGAAGAGGATCGAGGGAACGGGGGCTGCTGAGACGACTGAGGGAAAGGCTCCGAGCACACCCCAAGAAATCACTGGAGAGGCGATTCAAGGAGCAAATCAGGTCTCTTGAACACTAGCGAGACCGACCAAGCCTACGAGCATGCGCTGAGGATTATGATCAAAGAGTCTTGGCTCCTGCTTGACGGGGATAATGGACGACAGACGGCACGCTGCACGCTGCAGATTTGTGCAGCAAGCGAGGGTAGATCGGGTTTCTTGAGGCGGTCACAGGCTACTAGCAAAAATACACACTCCAATCATACTCTGCATCGTGTTAATGTGGCATGCTCAACATGTAGACCTCGCCGTTGAGGTAAATCACCCGAGTTGGTAGTTGTGGGGCTCAGAGCGACCTGGGAGATTACGAACGAGCTACTGTGCTCGTGGCAGTGGCCGCGGCAAAGGTCTACAGAATTTTAGAGGTATGGGAATACCAAGGATCAATATTGGGGCTATATTTAGAGAAGTAAATGCGCCAGACATGTCTTATCTATTAACTAGTTTATGATACTTCATAGCGACTAGGTCCTGGGAGCGGGCAATGCGAGTCTTTTGTTATGACATTTCAACCATGGGAAATCGCGCGACTTCAGACCTTTTCAGCACTATCAATTTTCATTCCTGTAACGTAATTCACAAGCTAGTGACCCAAACAAGCAAGCGAACCAACCCCCAGGTACTCGTACGACAATGGTAAGTAAATTCAGCCCCGACGCCTCAAGTCATTTCAAACTACGTAGAATTCTCTTCTTCAGAGGTAGACTCAACTTTCTGACATGTACGCGCATTATGGCCGTACTCGCCACTGTGAGGACCGCTGTGTCACGAACCAACTGACGGGGCCAAACCGCAGCTGGGCGTTGGGTATTGTTGTTCTGCAAGATAGGTCAAGCCTGTGCAATATCACTAACTCTCGACTGTCGTTCTCTCTCGGGGGTTGGGATTGTCGTGTCTCTGGGAAGAGACACCACTCTTGGTCACTGGAGTGACTAGTTCGAATGGTGGGTGAGAATGATACTTAGATTGATCGCCGAAGTACAAAGGAGTGACTATCGAACTATGGGAAACCTTACAGTTACATATACTTTGTCCTTCACCGATCCGTTATGCCATATTGTATGGTCATGTTTTAACTGACGGTCAATGTCCGAGGAGTGACCGTCAGTCTTGGCGTCGTGACGGTCATGCAGTCCTTATCTGTTATCTTAACCTATTAACTTCGTTAAAGTATAATATCGACCTAGCACTAGGTCACCTTACGCAATCAATGATGTGAACTCAGAGAAGGGAAAGGACAAGCTCAGAATTACTAATATAGACGTGGAGTAGGGAGGAGGCACGCTCAGTTTTACTAAGGATACGCGGCGTAGAGAAGAAAAGAGGCACGCTAAGCACTATTAATAACGTGGACTTAGAGAAGGGAATACGTAAGCCGTATAGGATACACCGAGAGGAGGATAAAGAGTGGGACGAGATCACACTCTACTCTCCATGCGACTAAATGGCGATCTCAGTGGCTTGAATCACATGCTCGAGTAGATTCGAACGGGATCGGCAGTATGTTCTACCGCAAACACGAGATGCAAGTGTGATGTGAGGCATTCTGTCGAAACGACTAAATAGCGATCTCAGTAGCTCCAGCTTACAAGTTTCGGGGCATTCGGTAAGCTGCAAAGTTTCGGGCATCTCCAGCTGCAAGTTTCGGGGCATTCGGTGATCTGCAAAGTTTCGGGCATCCCCAGCCTACATAATCCCAACCTCTGCATCCAACCATGTTCGAAACTGGCCCTCTACGCCAGACGGTCTGTGCGCAGAACTGTTTGTGCATAACCTACACGGACACCGATTTCGAATCTGACTGTGTTACATAGCTATAATGTAAGTACTATTAATAAAAGTCCTAGACTGGATAGAATGTGGCGTTATTGTAAAAGCATGACTTGAGAGGACCTGGTATCTTTCCACTGCCTTCCCCAAAATAGCCTTGGATGCTGCAGGTTGAATTGGGCTGCCTTCGAACTGTGAGCTCGCACTGTTGTTTAGATGTTCATAATTCAGGCCACAGGTTCAAGCTATTTAATTGGCGGGTATACTGCACTACAAGGAGATGTTGCTGACATGTGATGGACAGGGGAGTGGGAAGTTCCACATGCCGCGGGTGCCAGTAGCCAAAGGCATATGCAGCCATGACGTTATCCTCGTATCGCCTGACGGAAAAGTATGGGACTACTCGTTCACATTAGCTTACATCTGTTCGAAAAGAATGTCAGTAATAAGCCACAAAGTTAGACTAGTCATAAACTCTCTGCTTTATTAAAAGATTCATTAAATAGTTAAATGGCGATAGAAGAGTATGGATTGCTATTGGTGTTAAACCAATAATGCATCCCGTTTCATATTTTCATGCTTGAGGAGGCCAATATTATAAAGCCTAGCTCATCCCTTTTCCTAACCCTAGGCTCTTTCATTCAAGACCGCATTTGACGGCCCACATATTCCACTCCTCACCTCACAAACTGATAGTTTCTCCTTCCTCCAGCCTTGCCACACTATGCCAGAAGAAACGCCGAAGCTGGCAAGCTATAAGCGCATCATCCTCTGCTCAGACGGCGCATGGCTTGCGTCCGACATAGGCGACAGGTCCGCCCCTACCAATGTCGCCAAGTTAGCTCGAGCAGTTGCGAACAGTGGCCCTGATGGTAAAGGTAATCTCGTGAAGCAGATCGTGTCGTACCATTCGGGCCTTGGAAGCGGGGACCTCCCGTTCCAGAAAGCCATCTATGGTGAGCTGCTCAAACCCAAATCTTCCTCTTCGCTTTCGCTCAGACAGCTTTACTGATGTGTTTGCTACTGCAATTCACAGGCGGCTTCGGCTGGGGTCTCGACATCGAGGTGTCTCAAATCTACGATTTCATCTCCAATAACTACGAGCCTGGCGATGAGCTGTTCTTCTTCGGCTTCTCGCGTGGGGCTTTCACCGTGCGCTCAGTCGCCGGCCTTGTCTGCGATGTCGGCGTCCTCTCAGCAGTGCACATGTCGCGCTTCACAGAGATGTGGAACGCGTACCGTGCGAATACGAGCGGTGAGCCCTTCAGGAGGTCAACGTGGTATCTGGATAATAAGGAAGAGCTGGGTCTTACGGACGTCAGGGTTAAGGTGGTTGGCGTTTGGGACACCGTTGGAGCTCTGGTACGTGACGCAGGACATGGTGGATACTGCTTAACTGACCTTGCATGGCTAGGGTATCCCGGAATGGCCCGTGGTGGGTTGGGCGAGAAAAGTTGGCCTCCCAATCAACAAGCAGTACGCATTCCACAACACGAACTTGTCAAAAAGTGAGTGTTATCGCAAGTGCTCTCGCAGAATGACCAGGCTAAACGACGATTCCATAGATCTGGACTATGCTTTCCAAGCCCTCGCCATTGACGAAAAACGACTAACCTTCCCTCCTACCCTGTGGCACAAAACTGCTGACGGTCCTGCCAAAGATCTGCAGCAATGCTGGTTTCCCGGCGTCCACGGCAACATTGGCGGCCAAAGAGAAGATTCGCATGCCTTGGTTGACTTCGAAGAGATCGGCCACAACACCTTTGCGTGGATGGTAAGCCCTTCCTAGCCTACTGCATCAGTTACGATCCTAGTCGACTGACTTCCCCATGCTCCAGGTAGACAATCTCTCCAACATGCTCACCTTCGAAGACGCCGCGATCAAGACTCTCATTGAGGAGCACCGTCGCGCGCTCAATTCCATCAATATTACCAACGGCTGGGGCTGCGGGCCGATCGTCGACAACTTCTCCGGGCTGCAAGGCGTCTTCTTCTGGCTTCTCGGGAAGAACGACCGCACACCGGGCACCTATCCGCGGGACCCGGGCGACGGCACTGGTGGCGCCACGAACGAGTATTTCCACCCTATCACGCGGATCCGCAAGGACAACCTCAACTACAATCCGGCGTCGTTGCAGGGATATGCCCTTGAGAGGCCTGATGGCAGTGCGGGGTGGAAGTGGGTAAAAAGCGGCGTCCAGGCGATGCCCGAGTACGTGATGAGCCCGGAGAAGAAGATGAGTGTATCTTATGAGGAGCGTGGGAGAGTGAAGTATCGGGTCGAGGAGAGCTTATCGAGATTACTCTGTCCGAGGAGCATTCTGTTGGATCTGGATAGGGACAATGGGATAAGCGGGGTAAGCAGGATCGTGGGCTGAGTGATCATGGAGAAATGGCATCTCGAGTGAACGAAGAGTCCAACCATAGCAGAGAGCCACAGAGTATGCGTGGAAGCAGTTGGGAGGCGCCATTTAGCTCGTAGGACTGTATTCGCATGTTGACGAAGAGCGCAGACCTGTATATGATGCTCATAAGTGATATAGCGATATCCCTAAATCGACATGCGATAAGAGGTAATTAGTGTAGTAGCTAGCTAGTGAATAGCTTCTGTATGTCTCGTCGATCGTCGTGGTGGAGAGCTAATCCCGAGGTATAAGGGGAGCGTTGGCAGAATCTAGATGCACTAACAAAAAGGGATGGACCAATCAGAGGCTGCAAAGGGTCATGCCCGTGTAAGAGTCATGCCCGGGTAGCAATTCTTCATGCCCGTGTAGTAATTGCCTCAGAGAATTAGAGCCTTCAATTCGGCACCCCCTTTTCTTCTTTTCGATTCACAGTCTCCTGGGGATACCTAACCCATTCAATTTCAACCCTAACAACCGAATCATGGATCAATGAATGGCCGTCCGAGCTCGAATAATTCCGGCGTCCTCTGCCGACATCTGCTGCCGGAACCAGCTCTCTAGCTTAACCGGGAGCGTAGCAGTGAGCAGAATTACCGGGCAGTCGAATCGGTATAGCCCTGTGAGGCCCGCTAGCCTCTTTCTGTATCCGACGTCTATGATAATCGTGTGGCATTCGTCGATAAATATCCGCCGTAGCAGACGCCGGCTTCGGAGACTGTCGAGGTACGTCGAGAACTCGTTGTTGCTTGCCTGGTTTGCGCTGACGACGACTAGTCTAGCGACCCGGACGAGCGAGTTAGCCTCTCGTCCCTCCTCTTCCGTAGACCTCTAGTGGACGTAGTCGATTCCGAACGAGCGAGCCCGCGCTACTAGATTGTCGATCAGAGCTACGAACGGTACGACGACGACGCTGACGTCTCCGTGGAGGCCCCGAACTGCTGGAACCATGAATAACTGGCTCTTGCCACCGCCTGTCGGTAGTACCACGATCTGTATAGAGCCCCCTCGTATCTGTATGATCTGGACTATGGCATTCTCCTGATCAGCTGTTCGCTATCTTGCTCCGGCTCCTAGAATCGTCTCGAGTCCCTGTTGAACTCGCTTCTGGATGTCCTGATTTGCTGCGGTTATTGCTGATCGACGCCTTGTTGTTCTGATTTCTACGAACAGCTGGCCGGATTGGCCTAATCGGACCGCCCCCGACTTACTGAGGCCCTGATCACTGCTTTCCTCGAGAGGAATCGACGTTATAGTAGTCTCTTCCTTCCTCGGCTTCTTTCTTAGTTGCTGCTCGACCCCGGTAGCGCTCCGACTACGACTCCGTCTTCTCTTGGACGACCTCTCTCGCTCTCTCTCTCTATCCTAGCTTAGAAACTGGTGCCACAGCCGACTGATCTCTCGGTAATTCGCAACTATCTGCGGTTGTAGCTGGTCTGGAAACTGGATATTGAGTGCGTAGTGCCTTCGTGCGGTAGCACTACTATGCGTTGCCTGTAGATCCCAGATCAGCTGCGTCCGCACCCTAGTTCGACGCTCTCCTGTCGTTTCGTCGATCTCGTCTTCGTCTTGGTCGTATCCGTCTCCCTCAGCCCCGATCTCTAGTTCCCGCTGCTCTACGACGATGCCGCGGATGAGTCGGCCTAGCTCGATAGCTAGATGTCGATATGACGACGTCCCGAGTACTACGCCGATATACTTCGTCGACGCCCTCTGGAGCTCCTTCGTGAGTATCGTAGTATCCCACCTCCCCCTACGCCCGTCCTTCCAGAGCTAGTGGTACAGAGAGCTAGACGGTAGTCGACCCTTCGTCTCCTCTAGTAGCATCTGCTCGTAGGGAATGAGCCAGGTGAGATAGAGAACGAGCAGCTTTCCGATTCGCTTCGGTAGGAAACGAGCTACCTTGCGACCGCAGCCTCGAGTAGCCTGAGCCTTGTCCCGATCCGTAATGAGCATGACCTGCCCGTCGTAGATGTAGACGCTCCTAGATAGCTGCTGCGTATCTAGGTGTCGGACGCTGGTGATCTCGGGACCCCGTCCAGGCTGGCCGCCCCAGATATACGTTAGCAACATAAGCTGCTTCTTGAGTGAGTCCAGCATGCTAAGCCACTTATACGACTTTTCTCGATGGTAATGGGCTCTCTGGGACGACTATAGCTCTGTCGAGACGAGATCGGCGACCGGACGAGGCCCGGGACGTAGCCACTCGTTCTCCGCGTTCGTCGTAAACGACTTTCGATCCCCCTCGAACAGGAGGCTATCCCTAATCCGCCCGAGATCGACCTGTCCGAGGAGACCCTTCGTCTTCCCGGATAGTAGTTTGTCTAGGGTCGACTCTGCGTCGGTAACGACCCCCTGGGCCATCCGTCGGAACTCCTGAACTTCGATGCGGTATCCGTAGAGCCGGACCGCCTTCTTCCCCTCCTCCCAGATGATTCTCGGCGTACCACTATCCTTATTCCGATACCCCTTCCCTAGGGTCATAAACCGCGTGATCGCACTGAACGGGCTGAACGAGCCGTCGGCTATCCACTCGCGGTAGCCGTCGAGGAACATCTCGATGTCCTTCTGTCGTAGTACCTCAACTCGAGGCCCCGCTTCGTCCTCCTCCCGGATAGGGACGTGTTCGAATAGATATTCGAGTAGTAGGACCCGACTACACCACGATATACCGGCGAGGATTATGGTAAACTCGCTTGGCGCCCGGAATCGTGCTCGGACGGGGTCGATCGCGAGAATGGTTGTGAAATGGAGTAGTGGGTTGACGTATAGCTCGACGAGGACCTTCTGGGTCAGTGATAAAACGCAGAACGTGAAAACGCTGGCGTCGAGGTACTGATCGCCCTCTTCCTCTCCGTAGCTCTCGAATCCGCCCTCTTCTCGATCCCCTTCGTCGTCTTGGTCCTTCCCTACCCGGGAGCTCGGCGGTTCGGTAGAATCGAGTGCCTCCGTAATAGCTTCGAGAGCTGCCCACTGCTTGTCGGTAAACTGGATCTGTTGCTCGCTGCGAGCACCTGTTCGACCGATCCGGAACGACCGTACGCGGTAGCATAGGTAGCGTTTCCAGTAGGTTAGGTACCTCTCCGTCGTAGCAGCCTTCTGCTTTATCGTAAACGGGCGTGCTGCTGGTTTCCCGGGCTCTTTGCCTGCTAGCCAGCAGAGTGTCTCCTTCGGTACCTGGCTGATCCGTCGGCTACAGCGGGCTATCTCTCGGTCGAAACTCTGGCCTAGTCGAACCAGCTTGCCTTCTTCCTCTTCCCTCTCCTTCCGGGTAGCCCAGGGTAGCTTTGCTAGCTTCTGAGGAGGGAGCCCTAGTTCGGACGCCTGTCGGAGCTGGGCTAGTTTCTTACCGGCGAGGTGGGCAGCCCAGCCCATCTCTCGGACCCATGGTGACTCCCAGTCGGGGCCCGGGTTGTGATCGATAACCTCCTTGGACTCTGCTTCCTTGATCGCAGTTCTAGCCTCGAATCGAGCTAGATTGTGTTCCCAGCCTCCGCCGTCCTGTCGATTCTCTCTCTCGCTTGCTGCTTGGTCTGATTCGGGGGGTTGACAGTCGACGATCCAGTACCGCTTTAGGTGCTTTGCCGACGAGAACGACTGTAGTGTAACTTGAATCCAGCTGTTCCTACCCGGTCGCTCGTTATGGTAGTTACCCTTGCTCTTGGATGTGTTTCCTGTCCAGTGCTGTCGTATGATGCTATAGCTAGTCGTGAGGAACCGGCAAGCGGTACAGCTAAATCCGGCTTGGACTTGAAGCTGCGGAATTGGGTTACTGCCGTCCCGAGGAAGCTCTGCCTTATGGACGTCGATAAGTCCTCCAGCTCTCTCCGTCTGTCTAGCTGCAGCTGCTGCGTATTCGAAGATATCCTTAAGTACCGAGCCTTTTATTCCGTGCCTCTTCCGGAAGTGTGATTCGACGCCCGGTCCGGCCTGAAGACCGGCGTTGCATAAAACGCAGATGAGAACGCGTGCCGGTTCGTAAAGGTAAAGCCCGAATGCGTTGGCCTCTCGTTGCTGGCTCTGGTTACTGTCAGTCCTAGCTTCCTTCTCGTCTCCTTGTCTTCCTTCCATGTTTGGTTTCGGGGAGTCGACTTAGTACTGGAATTTCGTAGGCTAGCGTCAGAGTGGGATTCGAACGTTACTACTCGACTCTTTTGTGCTAGTTCGAGCTATTTCCTATCTTCTGCTACGCTGCTACGCGGAGGCTTTCGAGGGATTTATAGGGGGTACGTAATGATGAGGGGTTTCTAAGAAAAAGCAAGTATATATCCTGGGCGGCGGCAAGCACCGACCTAAAGCCCGACGTTATTACTTTTAACTTCACCCCCTACCCGTTAGTGCCCTAGCAACTTTTGCTAGTAAGTATTTAAAATGAAGAATTATATTTTAAAAGAACCGCTGGTCGGAATTCAAGAGGGAGGACGAGGCTGCTTAGAAGAAGCCTGAACTTTCGGCCGAAAGTTTATATATCTTCTCTGCGAATCCCACGCCTCTAGCAACCTCCCTACCTGCCTACCTGCCTGCCTAGCACTCTGCTGGTTCTTGGGGGTGATGCTTTAATATTAAGAATCAGGGCTCGAATCCGCCAGCGTGCCTACTAAACTGCTTGCCTGCATCCCTAGTACCCTGCTGGTTCTTCCGGGTGATTCTTGAATATTAAGAATCAGGGTCTGATTCCCCCTGCCCGCGTGCCTGGCCTTATAGGCCTAGATAAGCGACTGACTTGTTAACAATAGCTAGGAAGACCCGGTGGTTAAGCGGTACGACGCTGCTGGCATTGCTCAGCGGAATCCTCGGTTCAACTCCTAGCCGGGTTATAATACCAAACGTTTGCTCTAAGGCTCTGAGCAGACGTTTGGTATTTTTTTTAAGCGTCAGTCACGGGCTCGTATACGATCTCTACCTCTACTACGCGTACTGCTACGATCTCGGACTCTGCCACGAGCTCTGCTACTCTCACGCACTCTACTACTCTCACGAGCTTTACCACGTACTCTGCCACTCTGCAACTCTCACGAGCCCTGCCACCCTCCCGAGCTCTGCCACGCACTCTGCCACTCTGCCACTCTCACGGGCTCTGCCACCTTCACGAGCTCTGCCACTCTCACGAGGTCTGCCACGCACTCTGCTACTCTGCCACTCTGACGAGGCCTGCCACGCGCTCTGCCACTCTCGCGAGCTCTGCCACTCTGACAGTCTCTGTCACGTACTCTGCTACGCATAAGTCAACTTCAATAGACGTAAAGCTAGCGGTCAGCAGTTTACGGTTCTTGTATCTACAGTGCGCGAGCTTCTGCAGCAACGATGGAAGTCGGCAACGTGAACTTGCTCGCTCTAAGCACCGGGCTGTTCGCCTTTGCCTACGCGTCAGTACGTCGAACATCACGCTGTGCAGATGAACTCGGGATAAGTCGTGCTAAGAAGCTTAACCTACAGTACAGCCTGTATGCAGGGTTGACCGGACCGCTCGCGAGCCAAAAGGTCATCTGTCGTGCGGGTGCTCTTCTGCCTGTCAGGAATTATTCACCTTGTCACTCGATGATTTCTGGCATCAGGGACTGTTACTGTCTACCAGAGTACATACAACCCTGCACCGGGCAATCTCGAAACCCATTCTCTCGGAGCAGCAAAGCGGTCTCTTGACTTCGTCGAGAATCTGCGCTGCCATGCAGCGCGTGAATGCCGGTGTTGGCGAACGCAGTGTCGAATTTCGAAAGAGCTCCCGCAGATCGTGAAGGGGGCTTCATAGTGTGGCATATCAGGGTAGTCATCGAAGCCGTTTAGCCTGTAACGGTGCAAGAGTTTGCGAGCTCGCCATCCATCGTGCAGCGGTTGTGTGAGCACACAACTATTGAAGATTCAAGCTCTGCTGACGCCAGCGCTGCAGGGGTGGGCAGGCACGCAGGCAGGCGCGACCCAGAACAAGTACAGCTACTTGAGGGCAGGCTGATATACGAGTAGAAGAGTAGCCTATGTTAGCGTTTCTTCGGGCCAACATAAGCGAACTTCACATATTTAGGAGCGTACGAGAGTATCTCATCGTCTATATCGTGACGTGGGATGACATTTGACGAGCGTTAGACAAGACACAATACGTCCTCCTCCCCGGCAATACGTGACAAAATCGTTTGCTTGTCCTTGTCTAACGGTCGTAACTTCGGAATCTTGACTTTGTGGCTGAAAATAGTTAGCCTATTCTCTCACCGCAGTCCATACTGTGACCTTTTCCTCTAACAAATCTCGCATGCATTCACTATCCTGACATGTGAACGTGGGCCCTGAGCGAATATGAGCCGCAGAATATGCTGCTTATGTCCTCGTACTGTTTCACTCTAAAGCATATAGTATTACCGACCTCTTCAGATTCGCCGTTGCAATCCCCTGCACTGCGCAGGTGGAATTAGTAAGACGCCACCTCAAACTCTATATCCTGCCCGCAGCAGGACAGATTTTGGAAAGACCGAGACAATGTCACTGGGTTCATCTGATTGGGTTCTTTGGTCTCCCCGACTCATGCACCACTGCCTCCTCCGCAGTTCAGCCCTCGGCGTTTCTGCAAGCGTTAACAAAAACTGAGGCCTTTGATAACTGTCTCGGGCACAGGTGCGACGCAATGCCAGGCAAGGTGATCTGGCAGGCACTAGATGAGTTACACAGCAGTACGATAACTAAGGGTAAGGAGCTCTGTAGTCTGTGAGATCAAGGCCGAAAAGGAATATAAAAGGCGAGAATCAAGCACGGCTATCTGAGATTCTGCCTCTCAACAGCACCTCCAACATCTCATCAGCACCCCAAACACCAAGCACTTGTCAGTCCCTTCCCACACCTCTTGAAAATCCTGAGCCCAACATGGCATCAACCTTCCAAGGCTTCCAGGGCAACGAGTTCACCCCGAACACGCCCGCCTACGCCCGTGCCAACAACATCTATGCCACATCTTCCTATGGCGAAGAACGCGACCTCAAGCCCAAGCAGATCCTGCAACCTTCAAGCACCGAAGACATCCAGGTGATTGTCAAGAATTGCGCCGCGCAGGGCGTTCCAATCGCCATCCGGACCGGCGGGCACCAGTACAGTGGTGCGTCCTCGACAGGCTCCAAAGGGATCCAGCTCGACCTGAAGCCCACATTCCGCCGCCCGAAGATCGACCTGCACCTGGAGCGCGCCGATGGCAAGGTGTACCTCCGGTCGAGCGTCAGCTGGATGCTCACCGAGATGATGAACTTCCTCAAAGACAACGGCGTCTTCATGCCCACGGGCCAGTGCGCTGAGGTGTGCCTGGGCGGCCATGTGCAGACCGGCGGCTACGGCATGCTCGCGCGATCCTTCGGGCTCCTCGGGGACTACGTCCGTGAGCTCACCATCGTCGACCATCGCGGCGAGGTCGTGAAAGTGACCAAGGAGTGCAACCCGGACCTCTTCTTTGGCCTTCTCGGCGGCAGCCCGGGCAACCTCGGCGTCGTCACGCACTTCAAGATCGAGGTCCAGGAGGACAGCAAGCACAAGGGCTCAAAGGGCCAGTGGGTGGGCTTCCACTACCGCGACAACACGTACAAGGCCCTCCTCGACATCCTCGTCCGCAAGGGCGACGACCCGGACTTCCCGCGCGGCTATGACTTCACCATCAACGTCGTCAGCCGGCAGGCGAACCTGCTGGACCTGTTCCCGGGCTCCGAGGCCGAGCTGCACAAGCGGCTACCCGATGCCATCGACAACGGCAAGGAGAACAATGCCGACCTGCTCAAGTTCAAGTACGCCATGATCGTCGTCTGGGCCCAGTGGGTCAACATCCCCGGCGAGCCGGCGTACTCGCCCGCGCTCTTCGACGAGATCCTGAACGTCCCCAACGACTCTTTCAAGATCGTCAAGGCCAGCCCAGAGGGCACCCCCATGTCGCACATCGCGTCCATGTGGCTCACCGGCAGCTCGCGCGAGTTCCCCTACCCGTACGTCAAGCGCACCAACTCGACAAGGTCCACCTCGCTGTCCAAGGATGGCTGGGCCGACTGGTTCGTCGGCCGCGTCAACGACGTGGTCAAGACCAAGGGCAACGGGCTCTGGATCTCGTCGCAGATGCAGGTGTACGGCGGCAAGAACTCGATGTTCCCCAAGGGTGTGGGCAACGGCACGTCGTACTGCAACCGCGACGCCACCATCAGCGGCACGTGGGACGTCTTCTACTCGGAGACGAAGGAGGCGGCCGACGCGTGGCAGAAAAAAAATGACGAGGGTGTGGTTCAGCACTACAGCAAGGAGGACCAGCGGGTTCTCTGGGGATCGTGGGGCGACTGGGACATGAAGAATGTCTGGAAGCATTACTATGACGAGGCGACGTACCGGAAGGTGCAGGACATCAGGAAGACATATGATCCCAAGGGAACCTTCACTGCTAACCCCTTCTGCGTCGAGGCATCGAAGTAGACGGGCCTGTAGGCGCAAGCAGGGGGATCTTTCAAATAGCGGTAATGTCGAATACCAGTCTTTTGCAACCGTAACCTTGACATCGTTGCTGCCCGACGAATGGCGACCGGGCCAAGACCTCGCGCAGGATCGGCCGGGCTAGGTGCATGCAGTGTCGTGATTGTGGCAAAGCTGCTGGCACCCAGGAGGCTGAGGTGCCTATTGCACGGGGGTGGCGTGGCCGAAGAAACAATCATAGAAACATGGAAAGGGTTGCCAGGCTGGTCGATGGAGAACGACTTCTGCCATACGAGAATAAAAGAAAATAACCTTGGAGGGGGGGGGGGGGGGGTTTCAGGCTAAGCAAATCTGTGCGCACCTCGGCTTTGTAGCAGACAATATACATAGTTGGGGGGCAACGTGTCCCGAGATCGATCAATTGGCGTAATCAGCAGTGTACTGGTGTGCCGAGTGTGCTACTGCTAAGCCCAGGCGTGCTCAGGTAGGCTCAGTCATGCAGTGAGTACGCTCAGGTAGCGCTCGAGTTGTCCGCGGGAAAATACTCCGGTCGCCGTGCAGCTTCACCTTCGATTGTACCAGGGGATTCAAGCGCTCCAGAACATTCCGTCTCACCTAGGTCGCTCGGGTTCTTGAGCCCGGCCGGTCCGCCTCTTCCGACTCCAGCCCCAAAGCGACTGCTTTAGTGTTCCGCTGCCAACGGGTCCTTTGATCCGGGAGAGGTTCAGCGAAGGTCTCAGTATCATGGCGGGCGGGCGGCTGAGACAAGAACCACCAGGAACTTGTCCCAGGTTTGTCCTTAAGCCACGGACGGCGAGCTGAAATGTGAGACTTGACACATCACCATCGCCATAAGACAGTGAATTTGCGGCCATGAAAATCCAACTTCAGACTGACAGCACAGAACGGCAGAGACGCCCCTGTGACCATTCTTCGCAGCCCAGTCCTCATGTCAGGCTCTCCCCGGCGTTCACGGCATGCTTTTGCTAACAATTTCGCCTTCCGGCTAGGGCCCGAAGAATAGAAGAATAAACTCATGGCAGCGTCGTCTTGGCACAAGGGGGCGACATCTTAATATCCGGGGCGGGCTTGCCTCAACACAGCTAGCCGAAGCTTCCCGGCCTCGCATTATTCGACATCTCCGACGGGCTGTAGGCCCGAAGCAAGGGAGGGCTCGTTCAACCCCACTGTTCCTGTCAACCATGCACGAACTCCTTCTTTCTCTGTTGGATCATCGATCTGCATGATCAACACGAGGGTGTGTGATGGGGTCTCAAGGTCTGACCTGAGGAAATGCTCGAGACTGCAGGCCCGAACATCACATTGACGTCTCCAGTGACGGCAGTGACGACAAGCGGCGACACAACGCAGGAGAACCTTCAGACCCTGACGTCTCACTTTTCAACTGCCACCACTTCCCTTCTTTCGTTGAGCGTAGGACTATTTGTGCATGACCTACACGGACACCGATTTCGAATCTGACTGTATGAAAGCATGTGGATTCAGCACATCCCAGCTTCTGGCATGTGACTGAGACATATCCTCATGTTTAAGAAACGCAGCCAATGGGATGGCTCATGATTGAATGGATGCTGACCAGGTGCTGCCTCATGTCGTGCCAACTCCTGGCAACCCCGCTTCAGCCCTTGGGTTAAACTCTATGCTGCCTGGTATCACACCTTTCGTATAAGCCGTCTTGGCAGTATGGGCGTAGCTTTCCTCACGCATATATTCCTGTAAGCTTCCGTAAATAGCGGTCAACCCAGGTACATGTACTTAACCTAGTGTGAAGTAGGATTGTAGAACATAGCATGATAAGTAAGCTTTAGCATGTAAATAAGAGGATCGTTCGTAGAGGTGCTCATAGAAAGGGTGGTATGAGGTGAGGATCATGGGAAGGTCTCGAATGTTTAGAGAAGGCTATCAAGATCCGCTAATTATATGTACCGGCTAGCGGCTTGCTGTAAGAAAAGGGACCTGTGACAAGCAATTGCATTCCGATGCTGTGCATGCAGCTGGAGGGGTAATGGGAGTTGGAGGCTGAGCTCTTCTACTTCTACCAACCACGCTCCTTCCTCGCCTGGTGTGTAGCACAGAGAACTTCAAACACCATCATCTCCTACAGGGTCCTCTCCGAGGTCATCTTTAGCATCCAACCAACACTGCATCCCACAGCACCAACATGGTAAGCAGCCACACGGACGCGATCCCCCCTTCATCCAAAGAAGCAACACACAAGTCTGCGCCCGGCGCTTGTGCGAATCACAGAACGAGCTTCGACCGGTACGATCAAGACACGCACTCAAAGATGGCGGCCGCGAACGAGCATCCATCCGTCCGGACACGGTGGTTCAGATCCAAGACAGGCTGACAGAGATGGTCTCATCTAGTCTATAAAGCTCTGTTGCTCCCGCGCCCTTGCTCGCCGACTGGCGGACCTCAGTAATTCAACCAAACACTTCTCACCAGATCGTTTCGCACATCTTTCCTGCACTCAGCCACTTCCTTGACGCGCATCTCCAACCCTTGCATACATCATGGCCAGCGAGATCACCCTCGACGGGGATATCATTGCTCCATTGAACATCACACACCCGGCCCCTGCCCTCGATCTCGCCGGATTCCAATGGTGCCCAGTCGGCGGCGGGCCCAAGAAGGCCCCAACATCCAAGCTTTCCAGGCGCTTGTCTCGCGATGGCGAGGAGGTACCCTTGACGGAAGACCAGCCGCCGGCATCGGATGAAGCTCAGAAGAACGAACAGCTCCATGTCCCAGGCGGACCGGGGTCGGAGCCTGAGAAGATTCTCCCTTTCCCGCTTGAGCAGTTCAAGGGTTCCTACGCCGGCAATGGGTTCAACTTGATTTGGGTACCGAGCACCTTCCAGACACTCGGCAACTCTTGTGGAGACGGACCCAACGACAATAGGCTGCTCCTCAGTCTCACCACCGAGCAACTGACCTTTGGCCCGACCCTTGGCAAGATCCCGAACCGTGGGTTCCGTAACCAGGATGACATCTTCCTCGGCGGGCTTGCCTATCTCCAAACCGTCCAGGATACGACCAATGTGGAGACTGGAAAGGGCGATAAGCCAAGGTCCAGCAAGGGTTCCGGCATTCACTTCGAGCCCGGCATATGGCTTCACGTTCCGGCGGCCGACTTCCAGGGGGGCCGCGACACCATTTGCCGCATGGCCTCCATTCCTCACGGTACGACAATCAACGCGCAAGGATTCGTTCCCGAGAGGAACACCTCCACCGTGATCGGTGGAGAGCCCAAATTTCCCCAGTTCGACAAGCTTGACACCACGCCATTCATTATCGGGAGGCCTGAGGACAAACAAAAGTTCTTTAAAGTGGAGATGAACGCCGAGAGAGAGAACCTTACGCGACGGGTTCCGGCGAACCTCGAGAAGTTCAACGCCCAAGGCACTGGCAGAGTCACCACGGAGATCATCCAGAACCCCAATCTCGTTCTCCAAAATGCCATCGACACCAGCAACCTCGACATCAAGGAAACAATCACCTTCAAGGTCACCACAGGCAACTCAAACTCTGAACTCAACGCCGGCGGGACTGCCAACATCGCCTTCCTCGCCGGCCCGCAAACTCCGTTCGTACAACCCCCGGTCATATCCGCAAACACTACGCGCCAAGTCAAGGGTGTCATGATCCCTTCGCCCGGCGAGGGCGACGACCCGAACGCTCACACCGAGTTCATGACCTCCACGTTCTACATCGAGCGGATCGAGTATGACGTCGTTGTCAACAAGATGGAAGAAGGTGAGACGCAGGTCCTGTTGGCGTCGTTTCCTCCCGGAGCGAGGGCGCCTACGCCGAAGTTTGCGATCACGGCGCCACCGGGTGGTGTCACGGAGAGGAAGACAATCAAGGTGCCCGGCATCCAGATCCAGTATTCGCAGACCGTGAATCTGAATTTTGGGCCGGGCGCAATATTGACGTGGCCGCATGTTAGCGTGGCGACGCTGGTGCCGACGGACCCGCAGCCGTTTAAGATAACTGAGTGAAGTTCAAGCCTTCAAAGGTGGCAAAGACATTAAGTGGAACAGATTCAAGTCGGTATTTCCCATGTCATTTCAACGGTCTGCAGTGCAGCACTCTAGCTAGGTTCTATCTCAAGTGTAAGCCAAATGTCAGCCTGTTCATTCAACACCATAGCTCAACTCCCCACCGCCTAAGCCTCCTCCCCAACATTCAACCCCGCCGGCCTCCCATCCGTATTCTCCGGATACACCGTATGCTCCGTCGAATAGCTCCGAATCCCATTCTCGTCAAAACTCACCTCCGCCGACGAAACGCACACCACCAACCCCGGCACCTCCTCCCACGGCACATCCACACCCGCTTCCACCAGCACACGCCAGTGCAGGTGGTCTTTTAGGTGGGGGACTATGTGCTCTGGTTCGAGGGAGGGGATTTCGCCTTGCATGAAGTCCTGTGGTGGATTTTAGTGAACTGGGTAATTCCCATTTTGGGGAAATAAAAATGTGTACGGAGGTGAGATACAATAAGAAAGGGGAGGAGCGTCCACGGTGTGCTTGAGCAAGGGGGGAGACCGTGGTGAAGGAATAGAAGGAAGAAAGCAACACTCACGATCCGGATTGAAAGGCCCGTCGAAAATGATGACCTGGTAAGGGCGCCCGAGGATGTGCTTGGTGGCGCGGGTGTTAACGGTCCAGTCGGTGTAGGTGTTGTTGGCGGTGAGGAGGGAGGAGGGGTCGCGGGAGGTGGTCACGGTCTGGGTGCCCTGAGATGCTGACGTGGTGATTTCGGTGGTGGGGACTTCCAGGGGCGCGACTTGGGGAGGCTCTGACTCGGATGCGGTGATCTCGGTGGTCGTTACTTCAAGGGGGGCGGCTTCAGGGGCACTTCATCAACAGAAACCTCCGCCACAGCAACCTCAGTCATCGTAATCTCCGGCTGAAAGGCCACGGCCGTCCCTCGGTAACCAGGGGATCATCTCCAGGATATTTGGGCTGCCGAGGAGGAGTATGCCATGCTCACCAAAATGCAACGACGAGGGCGGCGCATCGCGAAGGTATTTATAGCAGCCATTCATATGACGGGACGGGGGACCACGAAGAGAGAACGAGCGGTCGAGCCCTACTCAGACCAGCCGCAATCCAAAAGGGCAAGACTGAGCGAAACTCGTACTTTCACAAAGGAGCATCGAGAGGGTCAGATACCGTCAGGCTCGCGCGATCCGGAACAGGTCCTACAACCACAATCAGACTGTCCGCGCTGTTCGCCTTGTCAGCCTTCGACCTCTCAAGACAGAAAGCGACGGGCAGACTCTCATCTCCAGTTTGAGGGGCAGCTGTCCAAGAAGAAGAGGGGAAGGCGCCGGCTCACTCGTCACGCCTTGAAGATGCTCAACCGTGAGAACAAAGCAAACACCCGACGCTCACAAAACTAACAAAGAGCCTCCAAGCACGATGGGCAGAAGCTGCAGTACATGTCTGACGAAAAGATGGGGACAACAACCCGGCTGATGGGGCGCTCGTCACTCAACCTGTCTGTCCTGAACTCCAAGGCAGGGTTGCCTGCATGTGCCAAGCGATTTGAAGTGCTGCATAACCTTGCTGGTGTGACCGGATATGCGCCATGATTGTGCCCCTGGTAGCAATGTTGGCTGTGTTTGGAGCAGAGGAAGAGAAGGACGACGGCCGATTGGGTATCATGGCAGTGAGAGCATCATGCTTGAGCAATCCAGACGGGCGACCATGTTGTGAGCCTTTCGAGTTCATCACGGCACAAGACGGGTACATCAGCCGCCCATTGTCTTTCTTCACAACAAAGGCTGTCGCAAGCGATCCCAGTTGCCTCTTATGAATTTGCCTGCAGATGGTTGTGGTGCAAGTCGCCTAGATTGGATGAGAAAAGCTTTGAGACTGGACAATCCAGAGACCGTGGCGTATGACAAATCTCAGTCTTGATGTGCCTAAGCTGTGCGTCCAACAATGATACCCTGATTCTCGTTGCTGCTCGCAGCCATGACCCCGTGGTGCGCGAACCATTGCGCAGATCGCTGTAGGTCGTGCTGACTAGGCAGCCGTCCATGGGATCCTTCATATATAAGCTGGTAGGACATTGAAGGTTTTCTTCGACTATATTCACGAAACTTACCATCGTGCTTCTCACCATTCGCAAACCGGCTGATCGAACCGTGAGTTTTGCCCTATGACGCGCGAGTCCCTACCCATTCAGTAGCACTGACTTCGCCAAGACAACAGTCCATTCTTAATAGCAACACATTCAGAACCGCCTCCACTGTAAGCACCACGATATGATTGAACCCAAGCTTTGATTCTGACAAGAGGAACACTACTGGGCAGAGCTCGTTAGCATGGCTTCAAGCATCACACAGAGCTCTACAACTACAGCGGAAACGCTTACACTACATGCGTGGCCTTCAGCTGCAACAAACAGGTCAAGCGCGGTGAAAAGTGCGATTGCGGTACACAGAATTGAAGGATCATAGGTGTTGGTCATTTACTGTCAATCGTATGGTAATACACTAGGAAGACCCGTATTGTTTGATGACCTCTGAATAAAGACCAAGCTTTCCATCCTCGAAAAGACCCATTGCGCGTGCTACATCATGTCTGTTTCTGTCGCAAAGAGCTTGCGACAAGAGTTGATCCGTCCCGATGTGAATTTCCGCCTCCCTAATGGCGCGGAGATATGCCTTCTGATCTTCGAGCGTTTGTCGCAGCTCGGCATCTTTAGGAGAGCCATCGTCATTGTAATTGGAAGGTGCATCTATCGACGAGGGCACTGTGCTAATGCCATGTGGAAACTGCGCAGAAAGTTCCCACGGAGCACTGATAGTAAACTCCCAGTCAATTGCCCCCAGCAGGTTTAGATCGTCGTCAAAGATCGTATTGTTCCAACCCCAATCGCGATTCCAGAGCGGGAACGGCCCAGAGTCTCTGACTGAAATGCCGGAAATCTCAGAGATAGACTGGGGGAAAGTTGAGACGGAATCGAGAATGCGTTTTGCGTAATCACCTGAAGCCCGTTGTATGTCTTCCGCTGATCGCGGGAACTGCGTCGCAGCTGCCCATGCTTTGAAAAATTGGGAGGCGGTGTCGAATGGGCCACCAACCCCAGCTATCGGACCCAGCTCAACTGTGCCGTCGGCGTGGAGCCGCATGATCGAGCCGATCTTTGGGAGTCTGACCTGCGACAATTGAACCTTCTCATGATAGTCAGCGTACTTCTCTGCGCAGTTAAACGGGTGTTCTTACGTGGATCCTTGCAAGATCCCGGATGACTTTCGCGATATGCTGGCGAGGAATTGTCATCTGGATATCCATTCCTGAGTTGCCGCTCAGGCACTCGAAAATAACGAATGGAGCGCCGACAACGTTATCAGGGGATAGATCGAGAGCGTATATGTGTGGTACAGGTATGTCTGTTCTGTCCTGCAATAATCTGACCACATTGACTTCGGCATTTCTCTTGTTGACAAGGATGTCGTCGCAGTATTGCCTACCCAATACATGAGGTAATTCGAGCCTGGCAAGCCATCGAGCGCCGTCCGGTGCTTCAATGATCCGAACCATATGATTGTGACCAAGCCCAACAAGTGGTAGAAATGAGCCAGTCTGTCCGTGCGCAGCAGCGAATGCTATCAGTTCATCCCAACGGATGGACTCCAAAAACGTGCAAGCACGCGTACGAAGTGGCCCGTCTGGGAGATGATGGAAATATTCCCATAGGATTTTTTTTGAATCCATGACTTTATCTGAAAAGACTGTGGCTGACAGGATAATCGCCCGACTTAAGAGGGGAAGAAGGAGGATAGTGTGAAAGGTCGAAGCCGCCAAAACAAACGAGGCTTTGTACCTGCAGGTATGTCTTACGTAATCCGCATGAGGCCAATGCTGGTTAAAGTCAGCTCCACATCTCTTGCCCAGTCATCGACCTTGCATCCCTGGACACAACCGGGACGAGTTGAGCCGCCGAAAAGAAGACGGCATTCGATACAAAAGCAGTAGTCCCTCATCTGGCAACGTCTTTTTCGAGCTTGATTTCGCCAAATGGCTCGAAGGCTCCATCGGAAGCACAAAAGAATGTCTGTTCATGAGTAGCGTGTTTGACATGATCATGAGATGTAGGCGGTCACACCAATATGGGAAGCGGTCACCATCTGCTTATAGTTCCTTTGCGACTATCTATATGTGTGTTCGTTACACGCCTTCGTCCTGCTTCCGCGTGCGTTTACAGAGGCGAATGGGCGTTTCACGATGGAGACCGATGATGATAGACTGCGTTACTGTTCGCGCCCGACAGCATAAGTTAGAGATAAGAGACATCCATATCGTCAGGAATGGCTTGCTTGTTCGTATAGTAGCGGCCAATTGGAAACGTTTGCTTTTAACACAACGAGTAATGGATATCAAAATCTGACCAAAGCAACCATTTGATTCTTGATTAGCAAAGAACCAGGCAGAGCGTAGCAACCTCTATCAGAATTATCTTCTAAGAATCTCACCAATTTCCGGGTGGCAACGGCAGCGACGCCGTCAGCAGCTACTGCCACCAGCACCACACGGCCGTGCTGATATTCGACGGCGCCGCGAGCAGTGCCGAGGGGGACAAGGACGGCAGCCAAGAGGAGGAGGAGGCCCAGGATAGGCACCACGAGCACTTTCGCGAGATCTGCCTCCGGCTCAAGGATGCCGACATCGGCGTGCAGTATGGCCGATGCGTCTTTCGATGCGGGCAGTGCGATTGCGGCGGGGTTCCAGCTTGACCAGCTGAAGAGCGGTGATATCAGTAATAGTCAAAGTCATAAGTTGTAAAGATAAAGTGAATGGTTTTTTTTCCCAACCCGGTTGAGTGTTTTGTTTTTATGTTAAGTCTATTGGAACCTCGTGAGAACAGGAAGGAATTCCTCACGGTAGAGTCTGGGCACCATTGGTAAAGCAAAAGTTCCTTTCGACTGATCTCTTTGGCTATTCTGAAACCATTTCAGACAAATGGTTGTTCCACGACTTGGCGTTAAACAGTCGTAGACCATGTACCGAACCTCTATGCATGTATAAGTAAGTAATAAATGTTGCGAAGATTGAGTTTCTTACCACGAGGGAGAGCACATAAGGGAGTTGGCTGCTGAACTCTGCCAATTATGGGTTTTAAGTCTGCCGACCCCCTGGTGACCACCCATCGTGACCAGGGGTCGCGTCGCGACGCGACGCATCCCCCCACCATACAATTTCCCATATAAACCTGATCATCTCTGTCGTGACGCGCCCCAGCCTAGACCATTACAACCCCCAGAAGTGAGGCTATCGTCATGGTCCCAAAAGACGTGCAATTGCGCGCTCTTCGCGCGTTGGATGACGTTGAGGACGGTATACCTGTTGCAGCGGCCGCCAGAAAGCACGACATCGACCGTACTTACCTACGTCGCCGCCTCAAATCTAAGCCAACTTTTCAGCAGAAGTATCAGGTATGCCAAACCCTCTCTATCCATCTGGAGGCTTATTTGGTCCGCTGGGCCATTGACCAGGCTGTAATTGGCTATGCTGCACCATTGAAGCAATTCAAGCACCTCGCGATGCGCCTACTCGCCGCCGACGGGTCGTCGCTGCGACTTGGCGTACATTGGTACGACCGTTTCCTCCGCCGCCACCCATCGATCAGGACCTCGAGATCACGACTCATCGAATACAAACGGTACGACGGTGCCTCGAAGGCCAATATCGACATTTTCTTCGGCCGGTTGACGTCATTGAACGACAAGAAGGTCCTCCCCCAGAACATATGGAACGTCGACGAGTGTGGGGTGGCAGAAGGCTTAGGTCACAACGGGCTCGTGATCTCCGATGCCTTGCGAAAGTTCACCTTGAAGAAAGACGGCGCCAGGAGGACCTGGATCACGATAATCGAAGCCATCTCTGCAGGCGGTACTTCGACTTCTCCGCTAGTCATTTTCAAGGGTCAATCCGTCCAACAGCAGTGGTTTCCCGACGTCAAACTCGACAAATGGCAGGAGTGGTTTTTCGAGACTTCGCCCAACGGGTGGACCAGCAATGATATTGCTCTGAAGTGGCTAAAAGAGGTGTTCCTGCCCTCAACGAAGCCGGCAGAGGCTAGCCAGTGGCGCACCCTGCTCCTCGATGGCCACAGGTCGCACACGACGGAGGAATTCATGGCAGAATGCTTCATAAACAAGGTCTGGTTGCTGTACTTGCCACCGCATACATCACACGTACTTCAGCCTCTCGACGTAGGGGTATTCTCGGCGGTAAAGGCGTGCTACCGCGAGTCGGTCACAGAGGTTGCGTACAACAACATGAACGAGGCCCCTGGCAAGAAGGAGTTCCTTGAAGCATATCATCTTGCTCGCCAGAAGAAGCTGAACAAAGAGAATATACTTGCTAGCTTCAAAGGTACGGGGGTGTGGCCACAGAATAAGTTGAAGCCGATGGGCTCCCGCTTCGTGGTACATGTGGGTGATGCGGCACCTGCGACTTGCCCAAATCGGCCTCAAACCAGATGGGAGGCAGATTTTTTGTCGCCCTTTTGCGCCTTCGATGTCGCAACACCACAAACATCTCGCGATGTTCATAGCTTGCATTTTGAGCCGTTGCGGTGCGAAAAGGCTTTGGGTACTGCGACCTGCCGGAAGCTGTTTAACAAGGTTGCGAAAGTACTCGACACTTCGAACATTTGGCGCGCCACCGCCGAGCATGAAAATAACCGCCTGCAAGCTGCATTAGATGCAGCGAAGCCTACTAAACGCAAAAGAGTCGAACCAGACCCTAACAAGGACTTTATAACCGTCATTGAGGTCGAACGCGCGATGAGGCAGGTTCGTCGTGAGTTAGGGTCTGACGTCAGCGGCAGCGACGACAGTGACAGCAGCGACGACGAGGTGGAGACAATTGAAAGCGACAGTGACGTAGAGAGTTGCATTGAGGTTGGGGGCAATTGATTTGAAGCCATTTGAACGACCGGTTGTAGAGTTAATGCAGAGTGACGGTGAGGTTGACGATGCCTTCATGCGCAGATTTGGGGTGGTCGCGAGGAGGGGTGGTCACCAGGGGGTCGGCAGACTTAGACCAAGGTATAAAGCTCTGTGTTATGTCTAACATCTGTGCAATGTGTAAAAGGTGCAACAGCTCTATAAAACTAGATCTTTTGCAAGGACTAGAGACAGATAACCAGCTAACCACGCCTTGGGTGTCTTGATGTAGAGTGTCTTCACACTAAACAAGTCGAGCAGGCGGGATTTCCTATCGAGAAGCATGTTCCACGCGGTATTGCGTTCCAATGCGTAGAGAAGGTCAAGGCGTGGCTAGAACAGGCCTAGGGGCAAACTATTATATAATACAAATTCTACTTCTAATGAAAATAGTAAGGTCAGTTCTTTTGTCGCAGGCTGACTCGTCGATGATTTGAACGCGGAGGCTCTATACATATAAAAGCCCCGTAACTCTGAGTCCCGTTGCTGGATCGACTTTATAGGTCTTGATATCGTGGTCAGTGACACTTCGATGCCGAATTTATCGTAAAAGAACTTTATCATTTCGACTCAGTATATAGAGGGTTTTTTTCGCCAGCTCCTCGCGGAGCGCAGCTCGCATGAAAGGGTCAATCTTGCTGCGGCGGCCAACACGGGTCGGGGGCGACACCGCAGTTCCGAAACATCCAAGTTAGGCCCTGATTCTGCGAATGGCGCGGTTATTGCAATCAACATACTTAGCTATTACGATATAGTCCACTCCACGACCTAGCAAAGCCTCGATTTGCTCATGCTTCCATAAGTCGGAGCCCCCCCATGGCGGCCACCCCGCATCGCGGCCAGGGGTCGCGTCGCGACGCGACGCATCCACCCCACATACAATCTTGCATATAGAGCAGATCACCCGCGTCGCACCACCATCCTACACCTACCATTGTAAAGCCCAGAAATGAGGCTATCGCCATAATCCCAAAAGACTACCAATTGCGCGCTCGCCGCGCGTTGGACGACATTGAGAATGGCATGTCTGTTTCAGCAGCTGCAAAACAACACGATGTCGCTAGATCCTACCTACGCCGCCGCATCGCTGCGACTCCGACAGCCGAGCAAAAATATCAGGTGCGCCAAACCCTCTCTACCACCCAGGAGTCTTATTTGGTCGATTGGGCCCTTAATCAGGCCGCAATGGGCTATGCAGCCCCATTAAAGCAATTCAAGCACTTCGCGATGCGTATGCTGTCTATCGACAAGTCGTCGCCACGACTGGGCAACCACTGGTACGAACGATTCCTCCGCCGCAACCCACAGATCCGAACCTCGCGATCACGACTAGTCGAATATAAACGGTACAACGGTGCCTGCAAAGCCAATCGACATCTTCGACCGGTTAACGTCATTGTCGAGCAAGAATATCCTCCCAGAGAACATATGGAACGTGGACGAGTGCGGAGTTGCAGAGGGCCTTGGTTATAACGGCTTCGTTATCTCTGATGCCCTCCGCGATTTTACGCTGAAAAAGGACGGGGCTCGGAGGACCTGGATCACGACAATCGAGGCCATTTCTGCAGGTGGTGGTTTCATCCCTCCACTGGTTATCTTCAAGGGCCAGTCTGTACAACAGCAGTGGTTTCCTGACGTCAACCTCGACAAGTGGTCGAAGTGGCATTTCGAGACATCTCCAAATGGATGGACCAGCAATGACATTGCCCTGAAATGGCTGCGGGAGGTGTTTATTCCCAACACCAAACCTGTCGATACAGGGCAGTGGCGATGCCTCATTTTGGACGGCCATAAGTCGCATTCCACCGAGCAATTCATGACGGAATGCTTTATCAACAAGATCTGGCTGTTATTCCTTCCTGCCCACACGTCACATGTGCTTCAGCCACTCGACGTAGGCGTCTTCTCTGCAGACAAGCACTACTACCGGGAGGCGGTCACGACAGTTGCATATAACACAATGAACGAGACTCCGGGCAAGAAGGAGTTCCTTCTCGCATATCATCTTGCTCGCCAGGAAAAGCTGAACCAAAGCAACATCTTGGGAGGCTTCAAAGGCACCGGAATCTGGCCACAGAATAAGCAGAAACCGATGAGGTCCCGGTGGACGGTAGACGGCGATGAGGACGTACTTGCAACTGCGCATTCTAGCCTCAATTTGAGCTTTTCCGACCCGGATTTTTTGGCGCCCTTCTGTACAATTACTGTCAAAACACCACAGACTTCTCGCGATGTGCAGGAAATGCACAGGGAGATGGTACGTTGCGATCCGGCGCTATCGACAGCAACCTGCAGGAAGCTGTTTCGCAAGGTGTGCAAGGCACTCGACACTTCGAACATCCGTTACACCGCCGCACAACACCAAAAAGAACGATTGCAAGCTGCATTAGATGCTTTAAAGCCCACTAAACGCAAAAAAGTCGAATTGGACCCAAATAAAGAGTTTGTTACAGTGGTTGAGGTCGAGCGCGCGAAGAGGCATGTGCGCAGGGAGTTGGGGTCGGACGTCAGCAATAGCAGCGATATCGACAGCAGCGACGACGAGGTTATGTCAATTGGAGGAGACAGTGACGAGGAGAGTTGCATAGAGGTTCAGCTCAATTGATTTGAAGTCTTTTTATTAAGTGGTTGTTGAGTTATTGCAGAGTGACAGCGAGGTTGGTGATGGCCTCATGCGCGATTGGGGGGTGGCCGCTAGGGGGGGTGGCCGCCATGGGGGGCTCCGACTTACGGGGAGCTGCGAGACCATAACAAGACGGTCGCAGATTCTCCACGTCGACTTCACCGATGCTGAAAACCGG